TGCGCTGGTTCTCTGGGACTATCCACTCGCCATCCTCGCCATCCTCGTCATCCTCATCATCGCTGTCGAGGACCACTCTTCTGTTTCTGCGAAGTCGAGCTGTCTGGGCCTCAGAGCGGCGCGCCGAAGGTGACTCTGTCAGATCAATAACTGCATTGGGACCAGTCCTTCTCTTCCTGTCAGTTGTCATCACGTTTGTATCCAACGTAGTCTGGCACTCTCTGCATCTGCTCCTACCGCCCGATGCCTCGTCCTTGCTAAGATCCATCTGGCAGATATCACACTTCTTGGACACCACACTCAGTGCCCCAAACAGATCCGCCATGCTGTCCAGATCATCGCTCTTTTTAGATGACTGTTGGCTACCAGTGGCTCCTGTCTGCAGGAGAATATCTTTGTCCTTTGCAAGATCGCTCTTGACCAGGTCGGGGTGATTGCACGACTGCCGGAGGCGCAACAATAGGACCAACGCGCCGGCATAGTCGACCTTTTCACCGCCCATCATCTTCTCCAAACTGTCGTCTGTACGCTGTTCAAGGCGTTTGTAAAAGTCCAGTTCCCCGGGCATAAATTCGGCTTCAACCTTGACGACTTCTCGTTTGACGATCTGGAAACCATTGGACTTCTTCTTTTCACCTCCCTTGCCCTCTTCACCCGGTTTGAGGTTGGCGTTCTGCTTCAGGACATCCTTAGTCCGTCTCTTCATAAAGATCTTGAGATAGACCTGCAAGCGCTCAATGGCAAGACCACCGCGACCGTTAGCTATGGGCTTCGTGATCTGCTCTCTCCAATTGGCCAGATCATTGAATGGTTTGATTCGTAGGAACTTGATGAGGCTCTGGAGCTCGTCAAGGTTGTTCTGCAGCGGCGTTCCCGATAGACACCACCGATATTCCGCGTCGAGAGCACAAGCAGACTGGGTCGCCTTAGCGTTCCGGTTCTTGATCGTGTGGGCTTCGTCCAGGACGATCCGATACCAGTATACCGAAAAGATGCCCGTCTTCTTCTTGTTCTTGTCGATCGCACCGTGCTCCGAAGTCAGAGTTCCATAGGTAGTGATTACAACATCGTAGTCCTCCAAGTTGTCTGTTGCCTTTGCGCGTGCAGTGCCGTGGTAAATTAGCACGCGGAGCCTGTGTGAGGGTTCAACTTTATCTTGAATCTCTGCTTCCCACTGCTTGATAAGTGCCAGAGGTGCGACGACTAAAGTGGTCTTGCTGAGACCGGGCGGAAGTTTCCGAGTATCTTCTTCTTCGTCCTCGTCACTGTCGTCCTCATCCTCAGACTTAGATCTTCTTAATCCATTTGCAGGTTTCCGGTTGGAGAGGATCAGGGCAATTGTCTGAACAGTTTTCCCGAGACCCATATCATCAGCTAGGATGCCACCCTTGGGAAGGACACCCTTCGTCTTGTTTCGACCAGTTTCCTTATCGCACATCCAGTTGACACCCTCCCGCTGGTGAGGAAGTAATTTGACCTTGAGGCCTTCCACTGTGCCATCATCCTCATCTTCCTCCTCCTCGTCTTCCTCGTCTTCCTCGTCTTCTGACTCAGCATCAACCTCACTGGTAACCTCCTCTTCTTTTTCCGTCGCCGAATCCTCAGCGGAAGCTTTGGGCGAGCTCGAAGATGTCTCGTCTTCATCCTCACTGTCATCTGAGCTTCTCGTCTCCTTCACCGTCACGCCCTCCAGCTGCGCGGCAAGATCGTCAATGTCAAGGGTGTCCTGCTTCTTCTCTTTCGTCAAATCCTCCTTCTTCTCCTTCTTGAAATCTCTCTTCTTGTCCTTCTTCTTTTTCTTCTTCGATTTATCCTTCTTCTTCTCATTGTCCTCGTCGTCCTCAAATGCTCCCTCCAACAATGCCTTGATATTCTCATTCGCCTTCGCCGTATCCACGAACCCGTTCACATCCATCGACCCGAATCCCGTATTCTTGGGCCGCGCACTCGGCGTGAACCCACCCTCACTGGTTAGATCGACGAAGTTCTGTAGATTCCGGGACGCATTCGACATCTTGATGGCCGATGGCTTGGAGGCAAAGAACGTCTTGGGCGCCCGTGGGGTATTAAACGTGAAATTTTCGGGCCGGCGGATCTCGACGACATCGTCGTTAGTAGGGCGGGAGAAACGGTTGTTGTTGTAGGCAGAGGGGCGAACGGGCTTGAAAGGGTCGTAGGGATCCGCCCGACGAGGGGTGGAGAAGCCTCCAGCAGGGCCTGGAGTCATCGGTCCTTTGTGATGGGGGAAAGGCTGGTGTTGAGGTCGTCCATGTTGCTGGGATCGGTGATGCTCGGGGCGAGCTTGGTTGGGTTTGGGAATGTTGAAAGGGTTGCCTCGATTGTTGTTGACAGTAGTGGAAGAGTTCGGGTCATGAGTCTTCTGGCTCGGGTGAGCGTGACTCTGGTGTTGCACTGGGCGAAGAGGAGTTGCTTTCCCGAACTCTGGATGAACACGACGAGCCTGTTGTTGTTGTTGTTGTTGTTGCTGCTGCTGCTGTTGCTTTGGTTGTTGCTGCCCGTCAGTTGGCCGACGAGGCGTCATGGGGTCTATCGGAGCATCGCTTTCGCGCGCCATGTTGAAGGTAGTGGTCGTGAAGTGTTTTTAATAAGGTCCTGTAGGTTAGTAGTGGCCGCTCCGCGCTTGTTTATGCGTCTGATATATGCATCGAGCTTCTAAGAGAGCAGTCCGACCACTTGTTTGTGTTCCTGATCTGGTTGCGGAAGTCTAGTTTGATCCTGTATAGGTCCGGTCAAGTGGTTAGCAAGGCACACCCACAATGATGGCGAAAGGTAAAGTTATTGCAGTACACACGAGGGGTGAGGAAGAAGTGGAAGCTAAAAACCCAAGTATAAACTCACTCCAGATCGTGCTCGAGCAAAGGATGCTAAGGATATGCCAGAACTGAAGTGATGGAGGGGAGGTGATGGAGGGGTTGAGATGGAGACCGAAGAGAAGATGCCGCTACGTAGAGGTATCTGTTAGTGCCGAAGCCTGCCACATTTTATCGATAGCGCTATCATTTGTTTGGTTTGGTTCCACCTCTTTGCCCCGGCAACCGCTCCGGACGCATGGACCCAACATGGAACTTGAGCCTGCGACACAGGGCCTTGAGCCCTTGACAGATGAAAACCCGGGGATTTAGATTGAATTAGAAGCTTGGACTTGGACTTGAGAACCATGACGTCTTATTGACTGGTTAGCCAAATCGGAAACGTCCATCAAATATTTACGATGGTATCCACAAGAAATTGCGGTGAAGCAGCAATACCCCACTCTTCTCTTCTTTGCGTAGCCTGCTCTATAATCATTCTAGATAGCCAGTCAGAACCGTCTCCTGGGTTCCTCCCTTATTATACCTTGCCAATAACAGGCTCTAATATCTGAGGTACGATGACTCCAGCATCACCCTGGAAGAACCAATCCCTCGAAGTCAACCCAGAAGACCCGACATCGTTGCGATCCATGTTAACGACTGCCACCCTTGCACCCCTTGCGCGCGCTTTATCGACATACCCTGCCGCAGGATAGACCTGCGAGCTAGTCCCGATCACCAAGATGAGATCCACCGTGTCCTTACTCAGCCATTTATCGATATAGTCGAGCGTTCGTAGCGGTAGACTTTCCCCAAACCACACCACCCCGGGCCGTAGAAGCCCTTCCTTGCACTCTGGACAGCGAGGAAGGACGTCGGGACTCAGCGCGGGCAGAGGAACCCGTTCATCGGAGATATCCAGCTCTGCATCTTCGCCTTCTCCGCCCTTGAGCGCGCCCGCCAAAGCTCGAGACGCCTGCTCGCCTGTCGAATCTTCGGGTGATGGATCGAGATCTGCCGCACCCTTCGGAAGGGCGAGTGCAGGCACGATTGGGTTGGTGAAGTCATCTTCGCGCGAGTAGCTGCAGTAGAAAGACGTACATTTTACGGTAAAAAGGGAGCCGTGCAGGAGGTGGAGCTGGTGAGAGGGGTGACCTGCTCGCTGCGAGAGGCCTGTGTTTGGGGAAAAAGTCAACTGGTTAGTGTGCGAACAAAACAATCTTTAGTTTCCTCTTTGTTACTCCATTTTTCCCGGTAGCGCAGTCTCAGACTCACCGTCAACATTCTGTGTCAACGTAATGAATTTGGAATTCTTCTTAGCCAGCTTGGCCAGAGCGTAGTGTGCACGATTGGGCTGGGCCTTGAGGGCCATATGCCTTCGATAGCTGTAGAATTGCCACACTAGGTCGGGGTTGGCATTGAATGCTTCAGGAGTTGCCAGGGCAGTCGCATCGTAAGATCGCCAGATCCCACCAGCACCTCGAAAGGTGGGAAGCCCAGAGGAGGCAGAAATTCCGGCTCCTAGAAGGGCAATAACTCTTTTGCACCCTTTGAGGTAGTCTGTGAATGACTTGAGGTCTGCTGCTGGGATGGCGGATGAAGCCATGATGGTAGCCTCTGGAACGAGGTGGAGTAGGTCCGTGTATCTTGTAGCCTGCCTTGATACGGACGAATTGAGTCACAATAGCAGTAATGTGAGAAGTCGACTCTAGGTAGGCACCCTAAGAAATCCCTTTCCTCCTTCTGGCCGGTCGCTTGGACAAGACAATCCGGAAGTTGAGAGAGCATGTTGGCGTTCCGACGAGAGGGGACGCTAAGCGATGACGTGGGGTAGCCACCCAAGTATATGCGTTGAAAGAACTTTATCTCCAACGTGATCCATTGATCGGGGTATTACCAAGCCATTTTGCTCTAGTACTTTGGCCAGCCTGCTTTAAGAGCAGAGCTTAGAGCTCATATCTTGTTAATAATCCACTTACCCAGAGGTTGGTTGGTAGAGTCTTAGGTTGTGTCTAGCCTAGCATTATCAACGTCCAAATCCCCTCACCACACCCCGCACAATGTCTCCAGGCAACTCCGACTCACCCTCAATAAACAAATTGAACTTGCTATGAACAGCTTAGATGCACAATCAATTGAAGAATATCTGCCCGCTCATTGATGAAATCACTTCAACATATTAACAGCAAAAAAAAAAAAAAAAAAAAAAAAAGGAAGCTTCAGGTACTTCAACACAACACATGTCAATGCTGCTCCTCTTTCGGCAGCTGAATCCCAATGGCCTTCTCCGCATACTCGCGGTTCCCTGCATTTTGCGCCGCCACAAATGCGCCGATATAGTCCGGCACCTCGGTCACCTTGTTCTGCTCACTCGGAACAGGCTCTCCAAACGTCTCCCAGACAGGCACCACACCCGTCCAGACCCGGTCGGTGACCTCCTCGTTGCCAGTGTCCTTCTTCTCGTCGGACGCCCCACCATCGCGGATCTTACCGCTGCCACTGACGACCTTAACTCTGAGAATGACGGTGGAAGACATTTCGGCGCGGTCGGGCGGCACACGGGTATTGGCCCAGCGGTCTGCCAGCACGGAGTTCGTGATGAGCTCCATCGCGTACAGCTTCTCCGCCTCGTCCGTGACCAGGTGCGCGTAGCCTTGGATGATGGCAGAGCGGTAGTTGTAGCTGTGGGAGTTGGGCGTCAGTGATAGGATAAGCCCGTCGACTTTACTGGCCGCCACGCAGACGGGAAGGCCCTCCCCCTCCGAGTCGCGGGCAAGGTTCATGATCCGAGAGCTGACATAGCCGTGGAGGTAGCAATCCAGTGGCTCGTCGATGCTGGCGGATGGGTAGTCGAAGGAGCCCATCTGCCCAATCATAGGGAGAATAGCGGGAAAGGGCTCAGACGGCCCTGGGCTGAAGGACACATGTAGAACCTGGGTGGAGTTGATAATAGAATGGATGGCACCGAGGTCGTAGGTCGCTATATCGTGGTTAGTTGAGCTGTGCTTACCGAGCGGGAACTATCTTACCTCGATGTTTGTAGCGGTTGACGGTGTTGGACGGTTTCTTGGGATATGTTAGAGTCCTTCCCATTTTGTCGGATTGTCCCTAGCAAGTTTGATGTAAATTGAGCAGATGTGGTGGTTTCCACGCTGTACAATACAGGTAGAATGGGGAAGTGAGGTTACGTGCTCTCTGTTGACACTAAGGGAGGTGAGCTCAGGTATATTTAAATCTATCGTTCATGAGTCACTCAAATATCCTACAAAGGATTAGGTCCATTCTTCCGGTAAGCAGGTTCGCATGGTATACACATAGTATTCACCAAGTCACTTAGGTAGTATTCGCAATTGACTACTTTTCTCAACAATAAGAAGCATGGGCTGTGGTACGTCTTCCAACTCCGAGATACTGCGATTGTGAAGCCACGGCCAATCCAGACAGCGATGGAGGAGACCATCGGAAACTGCTTGATGTTGATTGGCCGACAGCGCCGAAAGAGGCTGGCAGCTTTATGCCTGAGGCAGGAACATAAACCTTGGGACCCCGGATGTTGGAGATCACCGTTGTAAGATCCGAACCATACGCCATACGTGAATTCTCGATAACCTAGCGCTTTCGACGCACCTTCAATGGTGGTACTTCAATAAGCATGTCGACCTGCAAATTACTTCTTCGCCAATGGCCTCGCTACCTCCCCCACCAGATACCCTCCGCTTTCCTATCGCATTCTAGTCGTCTGGCGCTCCAACAGCGTCAACCGCGTCTTGCGCTTCGCCGAAGCTATGCTTCCATCTCCGCCGCAGAACTCAAATTCGGTCAACCGCTTCACGAGACACATCCTCATATCCTGAATCCGGGTGAACGTGAGTAGAGTCCCTATATTATGCTTCTTTTTTATATTGTGTCAGGGTGCTGATCATGGTTCTGTTGAATAAGTGACCCCCGGAATCACCGCCCTCGAATATGCCCAGCGCCGTTCGCGACTCGCAAACAAATTGCCCAAGCATGCTGTAGCCGTGCTGGCTGCCTCGGAGGTCACCTATCGCGCAGCGGGGATCTTCAATGAATACCGTCAAGACTCCAACTTCTTCTATCTTACGGGCTTCAACGAACCCAGTGCGCTGGCCATCGTCGGTGAGTTTCTGGCATGGCGGAATAAGAATGAAACAGGCTGAGGGTACACCGTGCTGACTCACTTGGCAGCAAATGACGGATCAGGGAATAATCACCTCTTCCATTTGTACGTGCGCGAGAAGGATGCAAAGGCCGAACTCTGGGATGGAGCCCGGTCGGGTACCCGCGCTGCCATTGATGTCTTCAACGCGGACGAGGTAGGGATGCTTGTGCCGTTAAATGGAATGATTCGGACACTGACGATAAGCCGGATTCTAGTCAGGGGACATCGATCGCATCGGAGATTTGCTACCCAAGATCCTGTCGGATGCTACCGCGATCTATACAGATATTCCCGCCTTGAATCCCGGGCGGTCGTCCCTTCATCGCTTCCTCTACGGCCCCACTGCTACCTCCGAGAAGCTGAAGAAACTGGTCGATTACCGCAAGGTCAAGCCGCTGAAGCCGATATTGAACGAGATGAGAGTCTTCAAGAGCGAAGACGAGGTCGTACAGATGCGCCGGGTGGGACAGGCCTCGGGCAGGGCGTTCACTGAAGCTATGAGGCAGACATTCACCAAGGAGAGAGACTTGACCGCATTCCTCGAGTATAACTTCAGACGCAACGGTTGCGATGGCAGTGCCTTTGTCCCGGTTGTTGCGGGTGGTTCCGTAAGTATAACTCACCTCAATGTCAGACGACAGACCGACCCTAACATGTAAAGAATGCCTTGAGCATTCACTACACTAGAAATGACGATCTGCTCCGGTAAGTATCTGCGGTCGTACTCACTAAACGATCTTCTAATACGATAAACCAGAGATGGAGACATGGTCCTTGTTGACGGAGGCGGAGTGAGTATATTCTCCAAAAGAGCTCCTAGATCAAGAACTGACAGTGTCGTAGGAAACGGGCACCTATGTGTCTGATATCACGAGAACCTGGCCTGTCAATGGCAAATTCACCGACCCTCAAAAGGACCTGTACAACGCAGTTTTGAGCGTGCACCGCCACTGTCTCTCCCTCTGCAGGGAAGATGCAGGGGTGAGCTTGGACCGGTTGCACACGATTGCTGAGAACGGTCTGCGGGAACAATTGATACAACTCGGATTTGACGTCTCGGGGGATGTAAGTACCGTCCTACGCCACTTCAATCTAGTGTTCGAGGTACTGATTTGAGACAGGCCATGGGAATCCTCTTCCCTCACCACGTTGGACACTATGTTGGGCTCGATGTCCATGACTGCTCAGGGTATTCCCGTGGCTATACTCTGCGGGCAGGGCAGTGTATCACAGTGGAGCCGTGCGTATTCCGTGCCCAGTTTTGTTATGCTCACACTAATCCTTTTCTTTTCCAGTGGCCTGTATGTCCCCGAAAGCGACCGTTGGCCGGAGAAGTTCCGCGGTATTGGTATTCGCATTGAGGATAGTGTTTGTGTCGGTGACGAGAATCCTATCATTCTGACCACAGAAGCTGTGAAAGAGGTAAGATCTGCTTTTTCATCGGTCTGACTTGTTGCTGACACGCGGGGTGCTACTTTAGGTCGAAGACATTGAAGCCCTTCGGGATTAGGATAGAAGGAACAGGAATATTGGATAGATACCCTTCGATTTAATTGTAAACTAGAAACCAGCTTTCCCATTTTTAGAGGTAATGACCTCGTTCAGGTGCAGGTAAACAGACAAACCAAGTTTTGGTAGTAGGATAGACGTCATACATTTTGTGATGCATCGATGGGATTGTCCGAACGCGTCCGGGTTTGGGTCAAGAAGATGAATTCAAGAGTCAAGGTTACAACCAGAATAAGTTGTGGTTAGGGAATTTGAACAAGGACTTAGGATCAAGCTAAGCATCAGGCAAGTTATTGAACAGCCTGAATAGCGAGGCAATTAAGAATGTTCTTGGAGGAGGCAGGGCTCATGCTTCGCGCACGCCTTTTGTTGTCAGGCGCACATCCCCGAGCCAAAACAAACCCGCCCGGTCTCCACCAACCTTCCCTGACACGCTTAGCCTGGCTCTTCTCTTCGATCATCACCACCACCACCATCACCAACCACCAACCACCAACCACTCTACTTACTCCTCTTCCTCCTCCCCTACTTCTCTTTGTCCTCCTGTTCTTCCTTCCTTAGATCTGGGACTATTGGTTGGATCCCTTTGGACTTAGGGACCATCTAAGTCTCATTTGTTCACATCCACTCCCTTTTACTATCGTATAATCGCGTGGACAATGGACCTTTTCTGATCGAGTTCTCTGCTCGTCGAGACGTGTAATCCCATCGCGTGCTCGTCTGGAGTGCCCCTCCTTTATTGCTCTTCTAACCTACTCCTCCTATCTCTTCCTCGTTAATAGTGCTGCCGTTATTGTTACCACATGGCAGCAGTATTCATCCCACCCTCCCCTCGAACCACTCTTAATATGTCGACTCGCCGACCACTCGCAAACGTGCCGAATGCTACCAATTCCCCTCACAGGTCAGGCCTCGTGCCGGCCAAACGTCTCCGGGCGGTGTCAACCCAGCTTGACATCCCTTACGGCCAGCCTCCTCCGAAGAAGCAGGTAGTCGATGGCCAGGACCCCGAGGCGCGATCACCCACCCGTCTCCGGACTTCCGCCTTGCAGAACCCGGACTCCAAGCTGTTTACACGTCGGACCAACAATGCCCAGCCCAGCGCGTTCGAGAGGAAGTTGGTTGCCGTCCGGGACAAGGAACGTCAGAGTCAACAAAAAGTTACTAGAAACGACAAGCCGTCCGCCGAGACGCTTGATGCTATGCGACAGTGGCAAAGACATTACCGGAAGGCTTTTCCTCAATTCGTCTTCTACTTCGACAGTATCCCGGAGGATGTCCGAAGCAAATGCTCAAGACAGGTTCTGGCTCTAGGAGCTGTAAGTTTTTGTTGCCCCCCAGCCCACCACACTTTAGCCTTGCACTTCGATCTTCGAAAGCACCGTTAGGGCCTTGGAGTAATAGTGGCTCGAGGTGTACTTGCTCCTTGTAGACATTTGTTCGTGTGCCATTGTATTCGCTGACCTTTTATAGCGTGAGGAAAAATTCTTCTCGCGTCAAGTGAGCCACGTCGTGACCTCTCGACCCATTCCCCCTGAAAATGATACCGTAACCCCGACCGAGATCAACGCGGAACCTTCAGAGCAATTGAACGCGGATGGGACCTTGCAGACCGTCAATCCGTCCCTACTCGATAAGAGCGCCGAAAGCCACCTTCACATGTCCCTTAAGAACGATGCACGGCGCGAACAGAGAGGAATGGATGTGCTGCACCGAGCCCGGCAAATGCGCATGAAGATCTGGGCTATCGAGAAACTTCAGCGGATGATTGCTACTATTAATGATGGGGATATCGCGGGCCATACCGGTTCGACTCGGACTACAAATGCTGTCAGTGGCCACACAAGGGTCAAGGGGGAAAACGACCTCTCACAAGTGCTTCAAAACGAGCTTAACGGTCCGTCTGACCGGAATCCCCACTCGGTTCTTAAGGAGCAGATCTTGTTCAAAGGCCCTTTCATCTACGTTCATGACATGGATGAAAAGACCCGGCCTGTCATGGTACGGGAGTACGCCAGGGTTGTCAGACGGCAGGATGGGACTTGGCCGCAGTTCAGAAGCGCACCGCTGGGCAAGTGTCCGTTCATCGACGAGCCGCCTACGAAGAAGGAGCTGGATCGACAACGCGCCCGCCAACGCGAGAAGGAGAAGAAGCCGGTACCGAAACCTGTTCCCGTCCAAGAAATCCGAGATACGAAGTTGAATGTGCCGGAGATCACCAAGACCCCAGATGAGGTCGAGGAGGCAACACCGGGATATAGTCCCGCGGAGGTCATTTGCCAATCAAAGCAACCTGAGATGCAAGAGATGCAGCCGGCTAGACCACAGTCGCCTAGGAAGAGCTCTGAGAGTTTTTGTCCACCTCCAATGCAGCGCACGGGGCCATTCTTCCATGGCCGTGAACCTGCAGCGTCAGGAGTACAGCCCTCGAACATCACATCTGCCATCCGCTCCCAGATGGTTTCTTCGACTGCCGCTGCCCCCGGGGCTAAGGCTGGCCTGAGCAAGGAAGTCCATGAGTTGAAGCGGAAGGTACTGGAGAAAGGGAACGGAGTAATTGCCGGTGGCACGGTGCCACCGTCGCACCAGACCACGAACATGAACACGAATCTGAAGATGAGAACCCATGAGAATCGACCGAGTAATCTAAGCCACACTGAGAAAGCTGTGAATGTGTTCGATGAAGAGACGGTGCAGTTAGCAGGCACCGGGGCACTAAAGCGTCTGGCAAGTACCCGAAAGGGGACCACTCCGAAGAAAAAGGAGCGACGGAGAGACCCCAAGCCAGGCTATTGTGAAAACTGCCGGGATAAGTTCGATGACTTTGATGAGGTGAGACCTCCCAAACCGCGTTTGAAGACAGCAACTGACCATTGTTTAGCACGTCATGACTCGAAAGCACCGCAAATTCGCTATTAACAGAGCTAACTGGGCCGAACTCGATTCCTTGCTCATCCAGCTGGAGAGACCCCTCAAGCCTAAACTTGCATTGTAAAAGTCTGGCACGAGAATACAGTTAAAAGGTGGATATATGATATGTACAATATATCGCATTTCTCGAATCATCACATGAGTCGCCGTGTTGCTTTCCCTAATGCTCAGCAAGGGATCATATACGAAGGGCTTTAGCACCTTTTCCTTTCGTCGAATGTCATACATACAACTTTGCATGCGGTTCCGAGCAGGCACCCTCGTCGTCAGCCGATGATGTATTAGCGTTGTCTATATTCTTCAGAGCTGTCCTTCCTTCTTCCTTCTTATCTTTCTTATCACGTTTATTGCTATTGACATCCCCAGCCAGCCTATTCAAGGACACCTGGCGTCTTTGGGCTTTGGCTGTGTTTCGCGCTGTCCGTCCTTGACCTATGAGGCAAGCGCATGTGCATGGAATGGCCCTTGACAGCGGCGGAATCTCTTCTCTTGGAAAGGCCCACGTGGCAGCTGAAGTCAGCGAAGCAGGGGATCGGGCATGAGGCTGTACGGGCTGCAGGGCGGTTGTCTTGCGAATATGCATGTGGTCATGCTTCAGATGCAGCAAGCGAACTGTCCATTCTCAGTGATAAGACTCGCGGTGGCATCTGCATGCAATGTGACCGACAACGTCACCTGTTTCGTCCTCTTACTTCGCCCCCTTTTCCATTTGCCTTCGGTCGTCTACTCTTCTACTTTTTATTTTCTTCTCGGTTCAATCATGGTTTGATGTGTTTCATGGGGGTTGCATACAAGGGGCTGCATTCCTGGATTGGTGTTGATGCTTGATGTTTTGCATTTACGTTCGGTGGTTGTCTGTGTCTATCTCTTCCTTGCGGTCCTTTCCCTTCTGCTGGGACTATCACTAGGTCCCCTGAGGGATGGACTGGGCCTTAGGCTTGACTGGCTACCTAGGTAGCTTCGCACGTTTTTTATTATAGGAAGTAGGGTCAGTAAGCTGGTTAGCAGCTCTTATCCACAATTTACATAGGAATGGAATACTAGATGATTACTGGGGGTTTCAGGATCCGATAGCGACTGTAGGTATAGTATGTAACCTGTAGTGTTCTTCAATATCCAGAGTACTACTATAGGGTAACTACTATGACTCTGTCAACTGTTGAGGCAGGCAGTCCTGTCATGACCAGGAACTTGTCACTGCATAAAATGCCTCGGCCCATTTCCTTCACCCCTCATCGGCACCGGAACAAGCCCAGCCCCCGGCGGAGAAGCCACCGCTCCCCTCTCCAACCAATGAGCTCCAGTGGCAACCCACCGAGTGCCCCAACAATCGCCCCGATAGGGCACATTAAGACCGGCAGAATCGGACAAAAGGGAACTAAGATTTAAAAGTACTTCAACTACGCCGCATATACCAGCACGCGAGCAGTCGCTTTCTCAACCATCAACAATCTACGCCGTAGATATCAGTCCATCGGCACTTGATCTGAGATTTACGCTGTAGCTTTTCCCACAAATCGAACCGTAGCCAAGCATGCCGGGGATACTGTAACGCCTCGGGACCTCGGAATCTTTCTTGTCTCCCCTTGCGGGACCTGGTGGCCTGGTCTTTGGTGTGGTGATGCTCGGGACTACGCTGCATATACCAGCACAGCTTACGGAGTACATAGGGTCGGTGGTATAAAGGTTGAACTACCGGCTGCGGGCAAAAATTATTGTTTATGACGGATATAATTTCTTTACAAATAATAACCTACGAAACCCAATTTTGTCGTCGAAGGAAATTTGGTTCAAGATACAGTATCGGGGGTAGCTTTGCCGTCCAAGCTACAGACAGTACCGAAACATATACGGAAGCACCTTGAACATTTTTTGGTTGGCCCGCCGGAAGGCAAAAAAGAAAAGAGAGAGAGACTATTTGCGACGACGTCACAGCATTCACCTTACACAGTACCTCTACACCAACTAAACTCATTCCCGTTCGCCGCATTCGGATCTTTGTTATTCTTTGTTTTGTGTCATATTCGCCTCTCCGTCTCATCTGACCTGGGTTTTGGACTGACTGACTGGTGGATTGGTGTTGCGGGGAAAATCCACTGAAGCTTGCAACTTCGTTCTCTCAGTCCCCAATTCCTCTCCACGCTTGTAACAAATTCAATCGGTTGTACATCACAAAAAAGAAAGAACAGCCATGGCATCGTCAAGAACCCCATCGGCCCTCCTCTCTTCCTCCCTCCGCCGGTGCCGGTCAATCCCCTCTTCTGTCTGCGGCTCTTCCTCCCGCCCTATTACGACAACAGCAACCACAACACCTCGCCACCTCCCCGCCCTCACACAAACCACGCTCTCCTTCTCCTCGCAATATGGTCTACCGCGAACCCAAATCCGACACAGCTCGCACTCCCCGCTGGGCGCGAGCGCCGCCGCCCCGGCCCGGAAGAAGGTGACCCTGCAGACGCTGCGGGGCATGTACAAGCGCGGGGAGCCGATCACCATGCTCACGGCGCATGACTTCCCGTCGGGTCATGTGGCCGAGGCGGCGGGGATGGATATGGTGCTCGTCGGGGATAGTCTGGCGATGGTGGCGCTGGGGATGGAGGATACGAGTGAGATCCTGATGGAGGAGATGCTGCTGCATTGTCGCAGTGTGGCGCGGGCGGTGAAGGGGGCTTTTACGGTATGTTTTGACTTTGTCTACGGATGTGAAGGGAAGGGAGGAAGGAGAAGCAGGGAAGTTGGTTTTGAGCTGGGAGCTAATTTCGGTTGCGTCGGGTTAGGTTGCCGATTTGCCCATGGGATCCTATGAGGTCTCCCCGGAGCAGGCCTTGCAGTCTGCGATTCGCATTGTGAAGGAAGGGCGGGTGCAGGGGGTCAAGATTGAAGGTGGGGAGGAGATGGCGCCGACGATCAAGCGCATCACGCAGGCGGGGATCCCCGTGGTCGGGCACGTCGGGCTCACGCCGCAGCGGCAGCATTCGCTGGGCGGGTTCCGCGTGCAGGGCAAGTCGACGGCGGGCGCGCTGCGGCTGCTGCGCGACGCGCGCGCGGTGCAGGAGGCCGGGTCGTTCATGATGGTCGTCGAGGCGGTGCCCGCGGAGATCGCGGCCATCGTCACCCAGAAGCTGCGCGTGCCGACCATCGGCATCGGGGCCGGCAATGGCTGCTCCGGCCAGGTGCTGGTGCAGATTGACATGACCGGCAACTTCCCGCCGGGCCGCTTCCTCCCCAAGTTCGTCAAGAAGTACGCCGATGTCTGGGGGGAGGCCATCAAGGGCATTGAGCAGTATCGCGATGAGGTCAAGAGCCGCGCCTATCCGTCGGAGCAGTACACCTATGCTATCCCGAAGGAGGAGCTGGCGGAGTTCGAGCGAATCGTCGAAGAGGGACGTGACAATTGAGTTTCTTCTTAGCTCAGAAACGTTGATCAATCGGTTTCATTCGCGCGGTTCTAGTATCTCACATACCCCGGTGGAATCCCTGTTGCTGGTTGATGCGCCGTCTACTTTTGTATAGATACCTTTTTATTTCCATGTTCCATAATCATCCTCGCATAGGAGACTCTGTTCATAATATCGTCAAGGCCATCTACTTTAAGCCTCAAGAGGGCAGTTAGCGAGCTGTTAGTCGTATTGTTCAGCGGACAAACCTGTAAGCCAAAGCGGTAGCAATCTCTCCTTCCGTGTCAAACTACACCCTGGATACGTCTATCATCCAAAGGCAGGAGTCATAGAATACGCAACAATGAGCTGCTCATCCGTTTTGAAACACTAGACACGAAAATATCAGAGTCCAAGCGCCCATCTTTGCGACACTAGAAGGACGAACTTACCCGCCATAACCCCCCAATCCCTTCATCCAACCCCGGCGCAAAGACGCTATTGACGTAGCAGAAGACCGAGTCGGTTTCCTTGCAGTCAAGCCGCTTCCGGAGGAAGTTGACGACGGTCTCGAACTTCTGCGAAGCGCTGACCTTGAAGACCCGGGTTTTGAGAATCGGGGCCGAGGGGAGAGGCTGAAATCGGACCGTGACTGCGGGATTTTGGTAGGTTGGTTAGTTTCAAAAAGTTCTACGTGAGGCGGGCAAAAGGTGGGCGAGCGATTTGGCTTGTGAAATCGATCGATCGGTTCAAGGGCCGCTGATCTTTGGCAAAAGAGAGTTCAAAAATGGGGAGTGATGCTGCTGCTTGATGGGCATATACGACGAGTACTGTACTTGCCTTTGCCCTTGTCTACGGCTTCTGCATCCGCCAATGCTTGGTGGGCATCGCGGGGCAGACTGGTTAACACCACGGAGGCGGATAGATTCATCGGTAGATCGGCGCCATGCTTGTCATCGGGGATGGGCGTATGTTGCGCCGTGGACGCTGAGGAGTCGGATGATTGCGTGCGCTGGGCTGGTCTGCGAGGGAGGCTGGTTTGATCGGGGTTGGGGGAGTTGCGGGCTGAGGGGCCGTGGGGGGAGGGGGAGTCCATGTTGATTTCGTCGCGGTGGATGCAATAAATCCCTCTCTGTGTGCTGCAAGATAGCACTCGATGGTGTGGCAATATTCTTTTCAGGAAAGGGAATATATGTCGATGGGTGGTGGTGTTATTGATGATCTAGTTCAATTATTTGCATAGCTTAATGATTGCGTTCATCGGGGCAGAGCAGATGACAGGCAGCCCGGCAGTCGACACCTGAGGCCGAAATACACCCCATATGCTCCCGAAGGCTTGCTGGCTTGCAGTTGGGGTACAGTGGAGGTTTAGTCCTTGGGCCACTATGCAGATGCCAGGATGTAGATAGCTGGCGGGCTGAAAAATGAGAAATTGTTGTAGTATAATGTAGTGTAGCGTAGTGTAGTTGTGCGGAGTAAGTTACAAGTTACGGAGTACGGAGTACAGTATGTACAGTACACTCTATCCATGGAACCGGGAAAGGGAAACCAGCGCCTGACCGCCTCCTTATGTACAGTGAGTGACTGAGTGACTGCCGGGCCTGATCCGTCCACTAAACTACGGTTCCGTCACTCACTCACTCACCTCATCTCCATCCACCTTTCGCTCTTGTACTACTTCTACTTCCCTTTCTCCTCCCGCTTCCTCTTCTTTTATTCCCTTATACCCTCTTTCTTTCCCACACTTCCTACACAACTCACTCCCTCGACCTTCAACTCGGTTTTTGCGTTTTCTGCTGCCAGATCCAATAATCCAGCGCCTTGGCCCTTTGCATCTGCCCTATCGCTACCCAGACTCGCCCCGCTCATTGCTTCCCCGCTTCAACCTTGGGGAAGACCTCAATCCCCAACACCCTGACCATTTCTCGTCGCTTGTCTTACTGAGACCCGGTGTCGTTACCCTTGTACTGGAAATATCACCCACGAGAACCACAAGTCCGTCAATCCATCAAAATGAGCAGCCCTAAGCGGAGAATCGAGACCGATGTGAGTATCCTCTTTCCGTGCCTGTGACGGGAGTGGCGTAAATGCTGACGTTGGCGTTCTTTGACAGGTTATGAAGTATGCTATACCACACATACCTCGCGATCGCATAATAGCTAACTAATGCGTCACAGGATGTATGCGCCCCAGGTCACGCCGTCCCCTTGTGCCTAAGCCGCCGATAGGAATAGGATTTATGAAGACAATTCGAGCGGGGTGGGATAGACAGGCATCATGCTGATGAACAAATAGGTTGATGAGTGACTATGAGGTGACTCTGGTCAATGATAATAGTACGCTGCTGTCTTTCTGGACCAAGCTGCCCTGCATATGCTAACAATCGTTCTAGTGTACGTCTCATTGCGTCCGGATTCGCAGTTGAGATTCATGACTTAATAATCTACTACCAGGCAAGAATTCTACGTCCGCTTCAAGGGTCCTGAGGAGAGTGGGTATTCTCGCAGTCCACGATTCAGTCCAAGTCGAGTTTGTTAACCAAATTTAAGCTCCGTTCGCTGGTGGCCACTGGAAGATCCACGTCGAACTCCCCGATCAATACCCGTACAAGAGCCCCAGCATCGGGTTCGTCAACCGGATCTTCCACCCGAACATTGATGAGCTGTATGTGCCATAATTCCCCAACAACTCGATCCCCCCATGGTCTGCCCCAACTCACCTTTGGTCTCTCTCCACCCAGTTCCGGCTCCGTCTGCCTCGACGTCATCAACCAGACCTGGTCGCCCATGTACGACATGATCAATATCTTCGAGGTCTTCCTCCCTCAGCTCCTCCGCTACCCCAACCCGTCCGATCCCCTCAACGGTGAAGCAGCAGCCATGCTCATGCGCGAGCCCAAGACCTACGATGCAAAAGTAAAAGGTAAGGGGATACATTCCTTCACCTTCGGTCAGACCCCCAATAACTAACCCCTGTTGAAAAGAGTATGTCGCCAAGTACGCCAGCAAAGAGGCCGTCGACGACGCCGGCGAAGACACCGAGTCGGAAGATGAGCTGAGCTCGGCCGGAAGCTATGAATCCGGTGGCGAGGAGCCGGCCGGTACGATGGATGATGTTTAAAGGAAACCCAACCGACCGCTCTCACCACTCCGCTCTCTCTCCCTTACAATTCTTCGCAATTCTTCGCAACCATGCCCTTGCATCTAGACTGATTTCAGTCACTTTCCTTTCCGCCCGTTTCTCTGCTCCTGATTTGGACATTATACTCCCATCTATATCGCATTGGCATTGTTTCGTCTTTTTTTTTTTTTTTTTCACACCTTTCCGCCTCCATCTTCTGCTTCCCTCTCCCGATTTGCGATTTTATTTTATTATCTTATCAAGTAAGATCATGCCGGTGTCAGGCTGGAAGGCGTTCCATGGCGGAGTTTTTCTTTTCTTTTCTTTCTTTCTTTGGTCTCTGCTGAAGTCCGCTGGTGCAATTGAGCTGTCTTTATTCCTTGTCAAGAGGATGTTGTTCGGGATGCTGGAGGATGGGTTGAGCTGGCTGTCAAGTTGTGCAGCTTAGGTGTATTGTACCGCTCACTACCTACAAGTGACGCCCCATCTCTCTCGTTCCCTCCCCACTCCGTGTTTCTCAAGATAATACAGAAAATTTTAAACTCCATAGGGCTGTATACTAAAACTAAGAATGTCATGCCAAACAGGTACAGTCTATTTGCGATGGCACAAACGACGAATGTCTATGTCATAGATCTCAATTGATATATTATTGAAGAGCGCCCCCTCTCCAGGTAGTCGGGGCAACAATCTTCGTACATAAAAGATTGGGCAGGAAAACAGCTCATGCGTACCTCACACCACGGAGAGACCAAATTAGAGAGGAAAATGACAAAGACAGAACTGTAAGAAGAATCCGACAATCAAAGAGACGAATAGAACGAAGAGAAAGGACACAGGCTAAGCCAGGGTATTATGAAAAGGGGGGAAGAAAAGGAAAGATCCAACATGGGAATCTATCGTCAGATGATAATGGGTAGGAAGAAGAAGAAGCAGAAGAAGAAGATGTAGACATGAAGGCTCAAAGAAGGGGGCAAGAGAGCGGAAGATCGGAAAGATTGACAATAAAACGCCCGTCGCCCGGCGACCATGATGATGCAAGATGAGTTATGAGGATGCGTAGGGAGGAGGGAGGGGGAGGGGAGCGTCAACCGATGAGAAGAATGTCTTTCGCGACCTCAATTTGGAGTCAGATTGCTTTGGTCTTTTTAAGCTACAGCTCGAAAAGAGCCGGCGCTTGTTGTTGGTCTTCAGCTCAGACGGAAACACCATCCGTGCGCTCTCCCTCTCTGCCCTTTCCCCGCCCCAGTTGGGTTACTTTTTTTTTGTTCGTCGATGTCGATTTGAGGAGGGCTTTAAGTCACTTTCAACACCCCAAAGACATCCCTCGACCCGTCCTCATCTGTGCTCGAACCGGGCCGCGAGCGGTTTTTGCGCGTGTTGATCACCACCTCCCCCCAATGCTTCGGGACCGTCCCGCCGGGTTTGGGCGATGCGGCGGATCGGCGCGGCGCGCGCGGCGGGGTCGTGTCCGTTTTCGTGACTTTGACGGGCGGAAGGGCTTCGGAGCTTGAGGCGGAGGGGGCGACGACGGCGCTGGGGAGGGTCGCGTGCGGTTGGAGATGGGGCTGCGGTTGGATCGACCAGATGTCGATGACGGAGCTGTAGGTTTCCAGTAATTTAGTTATTCGCTCGCTCGCTCTCGCACAGAATCAAATGTGATAGGGAAGCAGTGGTTTGCGCTTACTCCGAGGCTCTTTGGCAGATGGCTTCTAACGCTTCTCGTTCGCGCTTGAGATAGCCCGGGTCCGGGTGGTTGCCGGGGCTGGTGTTGTTGAGGGATCCGTAGGCGTAGCCGGGTTGGTTGTAGATGTCTTCTTCGAGGAGGCGGGAGGATTCGCCCTATGAGTTTTGCGGTCTAAATCAGCGGAGTTTACTTTGGGATTTCGTTGAGTGGTATGCTATTCTGAAATAAAAGGGTTTGCGCGGCGAGCTTTCGGCGCAATGCCTGGCTGGCTAAGGAGAAGACGTGGAATTGAAAGGGGTATGAGGGACGTACATCTTGGCTTTCTGGGGGACTACGCCCCAGACATGAGGCGCAAATACCCATTCTGAATGTAAAGGTGGGTTAAGTCTGGTGATGGTGTATTCTAGTCAAGGCGATGGCAAAGGATCTTGTTCTGGACGTGGTGCGACGTTGGCTGGGGATGAGAGAGATAACACGGGTTGAACTGGGCGATGAATGCGAGCTGAAAAACGAGGGACGGTCTCGATTCAAAAGAAGGTTGGTTTGCGGAGTGAAATGGACAGAAGCGCACCAGGCGGTGATACTGAAGGTGAAGGAGGGCTTGTGGGTGGGTTGGTGGAACGAGTTGGTGGTGGTTGTAGAAGTCGAGATCGAGATAGTGAGGCGTCCGTCAGTGGAGTTCCCGTGAACCGCATGAATGCCACGGGCTGGCGGGCATCTTCTATGCCCAATCCGTCCGACAGAGGTGGCCCGTGCATGGGCGCTAGCCCATCATCCAGCCACTATACTATACAGTGGTAGCACAGTGAGTAAGTTACTCTCTACTGGCATAAGAGAAACTAAAGGAATAAAGATGTGATTGCACCAGTAGACGTGTAGAGAGTCGTTAGAAGTCGACTGTAATGGCATTCCTTCCAACAGTCCTTCTCCTTGTAAACCATTGCTCTCTCATCGGCCAATTCGAGGGCGTAGAAATGAACAATCAGTTCATGCAAACAAAGAATAATCTATAAACAACTTAAATTGAAGACACATCCCCAGTCCAATCAATTCCTGAATTCAACAATCAGACATATCCAACCCATCTCTCAGGTTGATGGGTTGAACAAGCGCAATGCATACAGCCAATGCTCCGGGGCCGTGGCCGCACCGGATAACCACCGGTGGAAATAAAGCTGTCCGCGGCCGACGACCGACATTTTTCGTTTCCACCGCCAACCCGCAATCATCCAACTGGCATCAGGTCACCGTCACCATCCAGCACGCAGCGCAGATAAACGGATCTGTAACGCGATCGACTTCTTCGAAAAGCATTGGCTTGCTTATTTCTCCCATTCGATTCGATTGGTGACCGCTTCCCGAAAACCGACACGACACCATGTTTGACCTTCCCATGGCAAGACGGTATGCCGATTTCCACGACTTGCGCTTTGCATCGCCCTCAAACCCCACAATCCCACTAACAGAGCTCCCGTATCAGCGTTCGACGCGATGAGCTACTTTCCAGAGACTCAGAATCACCTCCCGCATCCCCGCCCCCTGAATCCGCGCTTCCAGATGTTCAGCAGCGCCTCGGTGAATTGCTCAATCTCGACGCCCTGATCGCACCCGCATACGCCGCCCCTGAACCCACCCAACCACAGGACAACGAGCACAAAGCGGAGGATGAGGAACAAGAGTTTGAATTTCGGCTGTTCAGTGCTCCTGCCCCGGCGACAGCCACGAAACCCTTGGCTGGTGCGACGTCGGACGACAAGGACGCAAACGAGAGCAAGGGGACGGACCCCGCCGCCCCCGTGGGGGTGGCGCAGAAACTTCGAATCCGCGTCCGGTCTCCTACTCCCGGGGCCGGAGGTCTGGAGGATGGCCGGTTGGTGAACCCCTTCCGGGGGTATGGGCACTACTTCACCGCGCCGGGGTCGATGACGGGGGGAAAGGCGGACAGCGAGGAGGAGGAGATTCTCAGCGCGAAGAGGCAGCAGTTTGAGGAGGTGGCAGTATCCGGGCTGCAGATGCTGGGGTTCGCTCAGGTGCCGTGGGTAAGTGTCCTACCTCTTGAGCCCTGTGACGTGGGGAGCTTGCCATGCTAACTGTGCTTCATATAGCCTGGTTGTTACCTACCTTGGAAAGTGGTTCATCTGAAGAGTGAGAAGAAGGCGAAGGGAACTGAGAGTGCAGGTGATAGCGACACCCAGCCGGCGACTTGTGTGGTCGATCCGCCCGAGAGGGTCCCGGTTTCGAGCAAGAAGCCCGGAAAGAAGCGGCGCATCCAGCTGCGGAAACGTCGTTCGGCCAAGGATGAAGCGAAGAAGCGGCAAGATGAGGAGGAGCAACGTAAAGCAGAGAAACGCAATCGGAAGAATCGCGAGCAGAAGCTCAAGCGGAGACAGAAGGCCAGAGAACAAAAGGCCGCTGCTGCCGCTGCCGCCGCTGCCGCCGGCACAGCCGAAGGTCAAGCTGCTCAACCTGCTGGGATTGATGAAGGTGCTTCCTCAGATGGAGGAAGTGACTGAGGCCCTCCGAAAGTGTATTATGTCTCCCATTAATTCTTAGCCTATGATACCCGTGCCGATATCATCTTTCCAACGATTATCTTCTTCTACGAATTTTACACTTCTACTACGACTGACTAAATTGGCACATGTCGGTCTATTCTGACTTTGGTTCAGATGATTAAAACGGTATGGAAGGATGCCAAGCTAATACAAACAAGATAGGGTATTTTGAGAAGATGATATCGACCACAGAGCACAAGGAAATCGGTAGCAGTCAATGCTGGGTATGAGATGCAAGGTATTAAGGAATTCGAGGGTGAAAGAATGGAAGATGCGCGGAGATCACAACGCATCGCTCGTCGCCATGAGTTCGGTTACTTCGACTCTTCGGCTAGACGCAGGCTGTTAGTCAAGGCCTCATCGTTGGGTGAAAACTGGCTTACCCTTCGCTTGCCCAGCAGTCTCGGCAGGCTTGTCAGCAGCAGCCTCAGCAGCGGCCTCAGCCTTCTTCTCCGCGGCGTGGTCCTCCGCCACGGTTTCTGCGGTTGGTGCGCCCGTGTTCAATTCCAGAACCGGGGCAGTTGAGGATGTCACAGGCTCAGTAGGCTCCGGCTTCGCTCCCTCGGCGAGAGTCTCAGCGGGGGCATCTGATATCATTAGCCATCAGTGCTTCCATAGGGCATTCATAGTCGCTTTACTCACCAGCCTGGGGCTCCGCAGCAGCAACATCAGCAGCAGGAGTAGCTTCAGAATCCTCCTGGTCGGTCTTCTTCTTACGGAAGATAGACTTGAGCTTAAGCTTCAACTTAGCAATGAAAGCCGGCGCTGCATTCTACGTTAGCTAATCTTCTTCTCATCAGCTCAGATAGCAAAGGCAATGGCACTAACCCATTATGAATAATATGGGTATATTAGGTAGAGGTAACTGATGGTAGAAGAGAAGCGAGTAGATGAAGCCTAGCAGGTAACCGGCTAAAGATCACGACGATGATGTTGTTCAGGATGTGGTCAAAAGAGTGACTGAGGTTAGAGAACAGGAAACAGAGAACAAAGAACAAAGCAGACAATGACTTCGCAACTCCCAGTAGGTATTTGTATTCCACGTGACGGGGGCACGGTCCTGATGGTGATGATCGTCTGCCTGTCTAATTTGCCTATTGCCGCCTCCTTTCTTTTTCATTAGCACCACCACGTCCCTTTTTGACTCCTTTTTTTTTTCTTTCTGCATTGCAAGCTTCATTTTCCACCGTCATGACCCCGCAGGCGTCTGTTTCAGGTCCACCGTGCCCATCAGGGGAGAATAAAAGGGAAAAGATTTGACATGGACCAATTGACTAATCTCGGTAGTGCTCCGTTTGAAAGTCGAGCTGGTGGACGACACCGTATGGTTCGAGAACGGACGAAGAGTCATCCCATCATCTATTTATTGACAACGAACCAGTCGATCTGGGCCCGACTATTCTCTTCCTGCCATGGTGGCTTCCTTTTCACCAGTGGTGTATGTCCGTTCGTAAAGTAGATGAGATTCCTAAATCGCCCGTCCCAGCTTGTTGTTGACCGGAGATGAGTTGTTGCGATCTCGGGAGACCCTAACTCCCCTCCTAAACTGCTGGTCCAAACGGGAACATGGCTTTCAATTCAGGGGGGGAACACAAAAGTCCAACCTGTCAGAAAAGAAATTTCTTACATGCTGCTCGAAGGATCTGACGACTTAGTATACCGATGATGATAAAAACAAACGAGCTACTGATCCACTATTACTTAAAGGAAGGTCCTGGTAATACGCTTATTTGAAGCTATTTGAGCCAAACCACTTGCTCTGGTGGGGTCATCTATATGAAGTCACGGAAATTGCCCTAAACATGGATCCAGCTTGAACACCGCCAGGTTTGCAATGCAAGCCTCTTTATCTTGTACGTTTCTTACAGCGGCGCGGAGCGAAAGAAAACAAGGACTAAGAGAAAATGGATAAAATTTCCCAGGGTCCATTTGACCCCCCTCCAATCTTTCACTTTTCATCTATCACAATCGTTTTCATTTCGGGCTTGCTGCGTAAATGCATCTTGGGCCGTCCAACTGGCAAGGGTCGTCTCATGAGGAGATCAACTAATAACTGCAAGCAGCGTTGGAATCGTGTTTCATCAGATGTCTGTGCTGCCATTCTGTTCAAGATCGCGCTGGCATCGCATCTGGTTCTTTTTCAAGGCTTCTCAATACCCTGAGGTCATCAAGTCATCTATTGGATGACTAGTGACTAGTGACGGCCGGCATGGGTACTGGACTGATAGGTCTAGTCCAGAAATAGGCTATGCGCGAGAGCGATGGCCAACTCTGTTTTTTTCGTCAGGGGCAAGAGGCTCCGATTGCACGTAGCTTAGGGCTTTCGGCAGCAGAAGAAAAATCACGACTAAAGAGGTCTCGATGGTTGATTCTTGGGACAGGGGTAGAAGACTCTCGGTCAGAATCCTTGCAACTACCATGTGAGACTGCCTCAACCATGAAATCCCTAGAGTCTGGGTGTTTGTGTCCTTATCTCTGGAGTGAAGAAAGTTGTTCCCAATCAATTTCCTTGTTGTTTGGTGACTGGAAACAAAATGAAAGGTGGCTGACTAACTAACCACCACCGATCGCTCTGCCGCCTTGCCGCGCGGGAGATATCGTCATCCTTCCACTCTATCTGAGGTCCCTCCCAACTTCTCGCGCTGTCAGATGTCGCAGTACAGTGATCAGACCTCGATACCAATATAGAGATGTCCCCTGGTCAATCCGCAGCAGATATCCCGTCCACAAGGCCGGTATCGGAGCAAACTCCTCTTCTTGGGGACCAAAGGCAAGATGATCTCAATCAGCCGGGGGACACTCCGGTTCCGTTAGCCGACGAACCCACCACCAGGGAGCTGATCCTGGTGATGGGGAGTGTCTGGGTGGGCGTCTTTCTTGCTGCCTTGGGTGCGTGACTTTCTCTTGACTCCTCTGCCAATTCCTCAGCTAAATGTAACTAGATACCACGATTGTCGCAACCCTGAGCGCTCCGATCTCCTCGTCCTTCCACTCCTTGTCTCTGCTATCGTGGCTGGCCACGTCCTACCTAATATCCAATGCCGCCTTCCAGCCGCTGAGCGGTCGACTGACGGATATATTCTCTCGTCGGGCAGGACTGGTATTCTCGAATGTCTTCTTCGCCGCTGGGACGCTGATGTGTGGACTGGCCGAAAGCGAAGGTGCTATCATAGCGGGTCGTGTCATTGCGGGTATTGGAGGCGGTGGTCTGACAGCCATCTCGACCATCATCAACTCGGACTTGGTCCCGCTCCGGAAGCGAGGGATCTGGCAGGGAATTGGAAATATTTGCTACGGTGCTGGAAGTGGTCTGGGTGGCGTCTTTGGCGGATGGATCAACGACACGCTGGGATGGCGGTGGGCTTTCCTGATCCAGGTGCCCTTCATTGTGGTGTCGGGCATTCTAGTGACTGTCATGGTAAAAGTGCCAGTCAAGGACACCGACGATGCCAAACTGAAGCGGGTTGACTTCTTCGGAGCGTTAACCTTAGTCACCACGCTCGTGTTGTTTCTGCTCGGGCTCAACACGGGTGGGAATCAAGTGCCATGGACGCACCCGCTCATCCTGGTCTCGCTGCCGCTATCCGCCGTGTCGTTTGTCCTCTTCCTCTATATCGAAGCCAAGATTGCGGCGGAGCCGGTTATCCCAGTCCGGCTTCTTCTTGATCGGACTGTCTTTTCTGCCTGCCTGACCAATTGGTTTAGCACCATGACCGTCTTCGGACTTTTGTTCTACTTGCCCTTGTTCTTTCAGGTCCAGGGTCTCTCCGCTACTGCCGCAGGCGTGCGGTTGATTCCGCAAGCCATTGGAACGTCCATTGGTTCGCTGGGGGCTGGCGTTCTCATGCGCTCCACGGGACGCTACAAGGTGTTTGTCCGCATCACCCTGACTCTTCTGGTTATCGCTTCCGTCCTGATCAGCACTTTGTCTCTCACGACTCCGTCGTGGCTCCCTTTTATCTACTTTTTCCTGATGGGCACGGCTTACGGCAGTATGCTGACTCTTACCCTGGTGGCACTTATCTCTGCCGTGGACCACGAACATCATGCGGTTATCACGTCTGCATCTTACGCCTTTCGCAGCACGGGTAGCACGATTGGCATTACAGTGGCCTCCGCCGTCTTTCAGAACATTCTGAAGTCGGGTCTATGGAGACGATTCGGCGATCGGGAACATGCGGGAGAGTTGATCTCCAAGATCCGAGACAGTCTGGATGAGATCCACCGTCTCCCTGCGGACTGGATCCCAGGGGTCTTGGATGCGTATATCGACTCGTTACGGGCGGTATTCCTTACACTGCTCGGATTGGCGGTGCTGGGAGCGTTGGTTAGCATGGGGATGCGGGAGCATAAGTTGCACTCGAACCTCTCTCGCCGTGAGGATTAGAGTTGGGTTGAGTTATAGTTGAGGGGTACACTATACACCACATACACCACAAGGTATACCAAAGTATGTACTTAGTAAAAGAGTAGTAGAAGAGTAGAAAGAATGGAAAAGACTACCTAATGAATACATCATCGGGGATTGGGTGGCCTGAGGCCCCACGTGTCCCACCCTTCCGCCCAGCTTGGCGGTTCGTTCTCCAACGGCATTCGTTCAAATTCGTTCAAATTCGTTCAGTTTGTCCCCTTCAGGTTCATGATTAATGGAACCATTCCTCATGCATGGCCAGTCAGTGTGCCACTGACTCTGTCTCTACTCTCCTTGCTTTGGTTGTGACAGTCCCTCTTTTTTTTCCTTTCTTTATACCCTTACCCCCTCACAGTGCTCTCATCACCCTGAGATCATCATCCACCCTCTTTACACATCTCATATCTCCAAACCTGGTGGCGTGCAGCAAACGAAAAGACGTGGCGACGCCTGCCTTACCAAATTCACGCCCAAGCTTCCTCCCCATCTGCGATTTTACGTATTCTTCTGCAAGTCCCGCTCGGCCACTCTCCAACACACCGCTTCCTTGCCCTCCTAGTTCCTCCGATCAGACCACCAGTCGTTCAACACGTGCTGCTGCTTTGAGGTCCGCCTCTTGACTTCCTGTACATGGCTTGCACTCGGTAGTTCAACATTTGGGAGGAGAACGGCTTTCTTGGGTTGCAATTGATTGCCCTACCACTTCTACACATTCCCTCTTTATCTTACCGCCTTGTTCTCCACTTCTTTTCAACGCCAAAGTATTGCACTGGTTGCGATTAGTATCCTTGACGGTGACAGGTACAATTCGCTTTGGTGACGACCCCTGTTGGCAAGCCTTGTTCTTAACGGTCCTGTTCTAGCTTGGACGATTCGGGGGCTCACTTAGCTATAATACCGTGCGCAAGGCCCATACCACACACACACACACACCATCGCCGGCCCGATCAACCAATTCTCCTTTGTGACACCCTTTTCCCTTACCCTTCTTGAATCGGATTGTTATGGCAGTCGGGGCTGGGACGAGCATCTCCACGACATCTACCGTTGCAAGTGTGGTCTCTAAAGCTGCTTGGTCCTCGGAAATGGAGGTGGATTTTGCGAGCGAGGAAATGGTCACTGCGCATACAAGTATGGTCGGATCCTGCATAGATAATGAAATGAAAGTTTTCGGTGGCCCTTCGACCCGCCGTCGAAAACGTTTACTCCTCTCCACTGATAGCGCGTTCGTCGACAATGTACTCCCCTCGTTGGTGCGGAATCCGGACATCGAACTACGATTGATCACCGACGAGCCCTCGGCTCTGCTCTCGAGCGCCAGCAAAGTCCCCCATTACATGGATACGGTGGATAGTCAGACCTTTGAGAAGAAAACGGGCGCGCGGAAATGGCTGAAGGCCAAGGCGGCGGAGCTGTGCGACTGGGCGGATATGCTCCTGGTCGCGCCGATCGATGCGGGCGCTCTGGGATCCATGCTGTCGGGCTTGACCAACACCCTCACGCTGGCGCTGCTCCGGGGCTGGATGTCGTCGAAACCGGTGGTGCTCATCCCAGGCATGACCGTGTCGGAATGGAACCATCCGCTCAGCAAACGGCAGCTCTGGGAGGTGCGGCAATATTGGTCCTGGATCAAGATCGTCACGCCGGTGCTCTGGAAGCCAGGGGACACGGAAGAATTGATACAATTGCCCTGGGATGGATTGAAAGTTCTCCACGACACGATCGAACAGACTCTGAACCTATCTTTCTCGGAAACGCATCCTATCTCCGGCCAACCTTCAGATAATTCGAGCGGGCCGCCGGAACCAACGCAGACCGGGGATGTGCCCTCAGCCATGTCGCGACACCTGCTATATCGCCTGAATAAGACCGAACATGGCCCGCGCTCATTACCGATGGAGCTCTGGTTGAATATTTTCGAGGACCAATTACACGACTGGGAGATCGCCAAAGCCGTGGGCATCCCCACGAACCTCCCCGTGCCCAAAGAATGGCAGAATCACCTGCTGAAAATGTCCACACCGGCCTCGCTCGAGTACACCATCCTGCGAGGATCGTTCGCGGCGATCAAAAAGCGCATCGACAGCCTCCCGCGCTGGAAACCCCTCTCCGATCTTTCCCTTCACCTCATTTTCAAATTCTCCCGAACCGATATCCTCTCCTACCTCATCGAGAAACAGCATGACCTCCTCTGGACGACCTCTCTCCTCAGCGTCCTCCCCTACCGGGCCTCCGCCATCTACGGCAATCCCAACCTCCTGACCTGGTGGCGCGACGCCCCCGACCTGCCGAACAAGGACTACACCACCGACGCAATGGACGGCGCCTCGCGGGCCGGCTTCGTCAACGTGCTGGAGTGGTGGCGCACCTCCGGCCTGGAACTGCGGTACACCGAGCGCGCCCTCGAGGCCGCCAGCGCCGAGGGCCAAGTCGCCGTGCTGGACTGGTGGAAGCGCGCCTCCACATCCACCTCCTCCGCTGCCACCTCCTCAAATCCCGTCCTCGCCAGTAGCCGCCGCAACCGCATCCCGCTGAAGGTCGGCAAATCCGTGCTTTTGGCCGCCCAGTCCGGCCGCACCGCCTCCCTGGCCTGGTGGGACGCCTCGGGGATCCCCTACACGCACGGCGAGTCGGTCGCCCGCATCGCCAGCACCCACGGCCACGTGCACGTCCTGGAGTTCTGGCACCGGCTGAAGGGCGCCAAGATGATCTTCGACAGCCAGGTCCTGGTGGGCCCCACCAAGAACGGCCACGACGCGGTCCTGGAGTGGTGGCGCCGCAGCGGCCTGCGCGTCGAGTTTAAGACCTGCGACATCGAGGAGGCGCTCGAGGACGCCGACCCCGTCTCCGGCGCCGAGCAGCGCGTGCGCACCTGGTGGGCGCGCAACGGGCTGAACCTCGGCGTGGGGACGAGTGAGTGGATGAAGACGAAGGTGCTTTAAAATCAATCACCTCCTTCTCCGACCGCGCACCCTCCCCCTACTATTATTATTCACCTCCGGACTAACATTGCAAATACCCATACAATCCTCACCACCCGGCGCTCTCACAGGAGCCATCAAAGGGCTGGAAATCCGCACACACAAATGGCAATAAACCGAATGGCTTGCTTCAAACCCTCCCCTGCTGTTTGTTACCCCTCATAATCAGAATACCCCCACTTATATAACCTTGCCTTTCTTCACCTGCAGTATCATATTTCTTTTCTTGCCTGGCGTTCCGAGTGATTGTTCTTACCTATATAGACTGGCCTTTATCACGATGATGACCACCAACCAACCTGGGAAATACCTTTACATTTTTGTGCCTGATTTCTTTCATAATCTTTGTTTTCCCTCATTGCTCAATGTTGCATACCATTTCACTAAAATAACAACAGGGAGGGGCTACTTCGTTCTAGCAGGGTGTCGGTGTCGGTGTCGGATTTGAAGTTAGCCTTGATTTTTTTGATCTTGTGATCCATAATCTTGCATACTTGAACACACTCCTTCTATATCGGTAATGAAAACATGTAGGAATTTTCTCTTTCGGTTGATTGTTCTTGTAGGTAGGAATATCCTTTTTCTCGAACGCTTCTATCTCCTGAGATTGAGGATCGAAAACAGGCGGAAAATGGATGATAAAAAAAAAACCATAGAATAAGACTCCCATTAGAAGAGAGTGACAGGGACATTTCTTCCCCGAGGTCTCAAGAAGAAATCAGGCTAGACGACCGTCTCAAGGCGTTGTTGAACAAGATAGAGTATAATAAAAAATAGCATTCGGGTCATGAACAAGTCGAAGCGCACAAGAAAAAAAAAGGATGAAGAAAAGGCCATGGAATTTGAGCGCCATCGGAAAGGACAAAAAGCAACGCCGTCCTGTCTTTGATAAACACACATTCACATAAACAAACACGTCAAGCATTCAGACTTCCTTCCTGCAACGGGGGTTAGTCATGGTTTTGAGGGGTAAAACAAAAGGCTGATGGACTTCCGAGGTGTGTGTACATACCAGGTAGGTTCACTTCTCTCATATGCAGGGGTCCGGATTTCATTCCGGTCCCCAAACGGATTGTTCTCATCGTCGTCCTCATCGGTCTCGGACTCGCTGTCACTGTACGTCTTTCGTCTCGACGAGGAGGAAGGCACGGATAAGCTGAGCGGCCGGGGCGGACGCGGAGGCTTAGGCGGGTTGACGGTCAACCCGGCGAAGGACTCGGGGAGGTCGTCGCGGTCCGGGGTCCAGCCGCTCTCGATCACGTCTTGGTCACTGTCACTGTCATAGTCGACGCTCTTGTCCAGGACCTCGAAAGCCATCAGCGCCGTGACAAGCTCCTCGTTGGCGTGGATCAGGCTGCCTAGGTACTCCTCGCTTTCGACGTGCTGGATGTACCGCAGGATTTGGCGCCGCAGCGTCTTGCAGGTCTCAAACCGGTTGAGGACCTCTGCATCTTCGCTGACCCGGTGGGTCTCGCGGTTGACCAACTTGAGCGCGTTGAGAAGGTTCGTACTGGCGACCGAGGAGGACGCCAGCGTCTGCAGAATATCCGGCTTCTCCTTGTCCAGGCTGAAACTGCGGCTGAGCGTCCTCTTCTCCTTCTTCTCCTTGCGCGAAGAGCGACTGGATGTGTGCTTGTGTTTCGGCCCACTGAGAACCGTCGCGGGACCGTTGCCGGCGGAGACCGACACCGTATGCCCCATCACGGGCTCGTCGGATGTGACCGAGTCGCGCAGCACTTTGGCCTTCGCCTGGGTAGCCGGTTGCTTGCGTTTGGGCAGCTGGCGGTAGAGCGCCGTCACCCGCTCCATGCCGGGGGTGTCCTTGTAAGATGCGGCCCATTGTCCGAACAGCTGCTTGCATTTCTGTTTGACCAGGGGATCAGAGACGGGGTCGGTTGCAGCGATGCGCAATCGCTCGAGCAAGGGCTCGTCCGCGAATTCGCGCAGAAACCGGTCGCCCGTGTTCTGTATCAAGAAGTCGAGGATCGTGAGCGCTCGTAGTTGGCGGTGGAGATTGCCATACTTGCTGCAGGGGGTCATTAGTGATTGGGAGAGGGAAAGGCTGGCTCGACTGACAGCTTCTTGCGCAGCGCACGACTGGCCTCCCGCGGGCCACTAGCTTGTATGCGAATGGCTTCGATCAAGTCGACAATTCCGCTGGAGTCTTCGACATCGTATTGTTCGCTAGTGAGTACTTCGATTTGCACCGTCACGGCGGTGTATGGCTTCTATGAGAGTAGCAAGGTGATCAGCACATGAGGTGGACTGATGGATGGTCCGGCGTTCAGTAAAATGTAACAAAGCAGAGACGGTTGTTTGTTCAAGTGCTGGTCTGATGTCCGGACGGCAGTGGGATTGGCCCGTCGCGTGGATTTCAGATAGACTTACCGAGGATTGAAACATGGTGTTCAAGAATGTGTTTTAGAGCAAATGCGGCCGTTAAGAAGTCGTGTGGTTTGCGAGGGTACTGCGGACCGGTAAATTGGTAGCGAGTACTTTCACATGCGCAAATGAACAATGGCTGCTCCGAACAGGGTCGCAAAATGTGGTTGAGAGGGATGAAGTGATTCCGAGGCGGAGACACTTGATGTTCACCTATAATGCTATTGTAGAGTCCTTATGCAGATCCCAATTCGGATGGACTAGGGTATATTAAGGAGAAGCGCAGGAAAACCGCAGAGTGGTGACGTGTGAACAGTAGTGTCTGGGGGAACTGTGGGCTTGTCCTTGGCGGGTGCAGTGCTCAGCCCAACCCGCAGATAAGGGTGGAGTGTGTTGCTGATTTGGATTTCGGATGGAAGATCCCAGAGGAAAGATGCACGCACGAGGGGAGAGAACAGACGAAGGAACACCGAATGAGCCCCTCCAACGTCATGCGGTGGATGTGTGCAGTGGTTTGATAAACAACAGACGGAGAGAGTGTCCGTGACTCCGTTGCACTTGCAATCTCGTGACTGATTCGTAGTGCCCCTCGCCAGTTGCCCCATTGGGTCTAGTGCGGGGAAAAGAGACAATGCAATCGATTCAGTGCCTGATTATTGCCTGATTATGCCTGGGGCTCCTCTTTCCGATGCCGCGCCGACCCAATTACGTACTCACTGCCCCATTCCTGGATAAAGGAGAGGAGGGGCATTTCGTTCCCCATTTCGATTGAAACATCTACACATGGAAATTCATAAGAATCACTACCCACACACGTAGATGAGGAATTTGAAGCAATTGATATCCTACAGAAAGTCACTTCCTCAGTAATCATCCCCCAATCCCCCGATCCGCCAATTGACCCCTCTGGCGTGAGCTTGGAATGGGTTTTCGGTCTCCGAATTCGGCAGATCCCAGCTCCATCCGCAAACCGCGACTCTCCATCTTCTCCCGTCTCGTCGTCTGCTCCACTCTGCTACTGGGAGTCAGCATCATCTTAAAAGCCCGCCACCATCTACTCTCTCCTCTTCTCCCCCACTTCTATTCCTCCTCCATCCCTCACACCCAACCCGCGACCATGGCCTACCAACAAGAACGCTACATCGCTGAACTCGCCGTTCAGCGCGCAACTCTCCTCACCCAGAAAGTCTTCAACGAGAAGGCCAAGGGAACCGTCTCCAAAGATGACAAGTCTCCCGTCACCATCGGCGACTTTGGAGCCCAGGCTCTGATCATTCAGGCCATCCGCAAGAATTTCCCCAACGATGAGATCGTCGCCGAGGAGGAGGCCAGCACGCTCCGCGAGGACAAGGCGCTGAGCGCCGAGATCTGGAGACTCGTCAAGGACATCAAGTTGGAGGATAGCGAGAGCGACAACCTTCTGGGCGGCGCCCTGCCGAGCGAGGAAGCGATGCTGGACATCATCGACGAGGGCAAGAGCGCTGGTGGTGCCAAGGGTCGCGTCTGGGCCTTGGACCCCATCGACGGCACCAAGGGTTTCCTGCGCGGCGGCCAATACGCCGTCTGCCTGGGCCTGATTGAGAACGGTGATGTCAAGGTTGGAGCCATCGGCTGCCCCAACCTGCCCGTCAACGATTCCGAGACTTTGTCCGCCGGAATCGGTGCGGAGCAGACCAGCGGCGCCGGCAACGGGGTCCTCTTCTCTGCTATCCAGGGTGTCGGGGCCATCAGCAGACCCCTGACCAACGCCAGTCTCGCCGAGAGCAAGTCGATCTCCATGCGCCCCGTGCCGGACATCGCCCAGGCCGTCTTCTGCGAGGGCGTCGAAGCTGCCCACTCCGCCCAGGGTGACAACGCCGCCGTCGCCGAGCGTCTCGGTATCACTGCCCCCAGTGTGCGTCTGGACTCCCAGGCCAAGTACTGCTCGATCGCCAGAGGGGCCGGTGACATCTACCTGCGCCTGCCGGTGAAGAAGGACTACCAGGAGAAGATCTGGGATCACGCCGCTGGAGATCTGCTTGTCCGCGAGGCGGGCGGTCAAGTGACTGATATCTACGGTCAGAGATTGGACTTCAGCAAGGGCCGGACCTTGGCTGCCAACAAGGGTGTCGTCGCCGCCCCCGCGGCCATCCACGACCAGGTCATCGACGCCGTGAAGGTTGTTCTGAAGTTGTAAGAAGAGGTTACGAATTTCCTGTTATGCATAGATTGTGTGGTTTTTTTTCATGTTGGCTGCATAATCTGTCAAGCTATATCCACGCTAGATGCGTCTAAAAGTACACAAATTTCAAAATACCAGTCGCGAACCCAGAGAACCATGCTCCGATATACATATACAGGTGTAAAAAAAAAAGCAAAGAAAAGGAGAGTCCCCCAAGGTATAAACGACACCCGATCACCGAATCTTCTTGGCTTTCAATCTGATGGTCTCTCCGTTGACGAAGATACCCTTGCCCTTGTAGGGCTCGGGCTTGCGCCATTCGCGGATCTCGGCCGCGAACTGCGTCACGACTTCCTTGTTGACACTCTCGAGCAGGATACGGGTCGGCTGAGGTGTGCTGGCCTTAACTCCCCACGGAACGGGGAGTTCAATCGGGTGAGAGTATCCGACCTTCAGGGAGACGAACTTCTGGCCTTTGAATTGGGACTTGACGGTGGTCGCCTGAGACTCGATCGTAGCTCTGTAACCGACACCAACCATACTCAGGATACAGATGTGACCTTCCGACACTCCCAGGACGTAGTTTTGTAGATGCGAGCGCATGGTGCCTGATTTCGTCATGTACTAGTCAGTCGGCCCGTTCCAAAGCAGAGAAGTAATTTCCGGTGAGAAAAGGTTATCGACATACCCCACATAGCACGCTGGTGTTTGATCTCCCGGTCTTGAACGGAGAGAGTGGCCTTCCGGAGGGCTTCATCGTGTTCGATGTTGACGAAGGGAGGGACTTTCAGTGTCATTTTACCTAGCAGTCACTTCTTGTTAGAAATACCATAGAGTGGTTTCCTCGCCGGGCAGTTCAGAAAAGACGGGGACTCACCCAGAGGGCCCGACACCTCAATTGCAACCTTGGGAGCTTCCTCGGCGTTTCCTCTCACGGAGACAACCGGGAGATCGATGAACTTGAGAGACACCTCCGGGGGAATGGTAATCGGGGCACTGCCCTTCCGCGATTGTGTCGGGGAAGTGGTCGAGAAAGGTTGTGTCCGGAGAGGGAGAGCGAAGGCTGAACCGGGACGAGCAGACGCAGCGCCCGTTCTCAGGGAGCTCCGCGCAAATTGCCGGAGGCAGCTCTGGGGTAGGAGATTCGACATGGCGGCGTGGGTTGCGACTGATGTTTTGATTGACTAGTCTGGGATTCTTTTGATGCGGACGGATTTTGTCCGGAGATCCTGTCTCCCTAATCCGGTTAGTCCAGATCACGTGAGAGGACATATAGATCGGGGATGGGTGAGGTCTCCCTACAGCTTCTACTTCGGCTCTGCACTCGTGATGAAGTGATGTTGGAGCTGTCTGCTTAGCCCTACGGGTCTTTCCTCCGCTGGGTTGAAGTTGACTTATGGCTTAGCCTAGAGAACGGGGATAACCTCACTTTCCCGCTTTACATCTGTCCTACTTCGTCGTTCCTCTCGCTTACCTTATCAGTGTCAACTTGATGAATCTGCTACTTTATGCTTCAATTGACCAAATTCCTATGGACTCATAATCTCTTAAGCTCTATACTGCATTACTATAGCCTTTATTTACTCCATACTTCTCCCTGGTACAATCTTACGAACCCTCGACACTAACATCCACCATGAAATTAATGACTGCATTGTCCTTCGTCGCTATCATGTCTCAGCATATCATTATATCGGTGCTCATATTTATCCCTACTCTCGGCAGCCTAGTGGATGCAGTGCTTCCGGAGAATGGTACGTCTCCATGTGGCGACTCTCACAACAATCGTTAACGATGCAAGCAGCTCTCGCAGGCAACCAGAATCGTGCTATGGAAGAGATCGACCTGGCATCGCTCCTTACTCCACGAGTCCCGAAGCAAAAGCCCCTTATACAAGAAGCCCTCACTCTTATCGATTCCATGAAGCTCGCTCCATCCTGCAACCGGCTCGCAGTATCGGAACTCGTCTCATCCTGTCAGTCAATCGGTCGTCGGGCCGAGAAACAAGACACGGATATATACTTGAACCTGGAGCTCGTACGATCACTTTATGCGGCCCGTCTTGCCATTTGTGAGCTCCGAGAAGCTAAGGCAGCAGCACCAGACGCGTGTTCCTCATTGATGATTGGGCCGCCGCAGAAGAGAGGCAGGTTCGGTTTTATTTTCAGCGATAGAATCCGCTTCAGCGCTCCGGACGTCATTCAGAAGCCACACTTGGAGTCTTGCCTGCAGTCGTTAGAGACACGGCCGCAGTGGTGGACGTCCTATAGCAACAGTCGGCAGAATGCCGTGGTAATATGTCAGGCAGCCAGGGATGAGACTGAGAAGGAGGAGCTCCTGGAGCTTTATCGAACTATACTCAATAGCTCTACAGAGCTGGAGCGTGGTCTTCACGAGGCCTTGGAGGTCGCTGCAGCTGACCTTGCCCGTCAGAAAGAATTCATGCAAGCGGTCGGTATAATGAGAAGCAGGATGAGACAAGAGCTGGAAGAAACCGAGATGCGCTTGAGATCGACGATTGACCGTATTTTGCACAGCCTGTACGCGTATGCCGTTGACTCGTTTAAAGAGTCCCTTAGGCCTGCGATTGATACACTGCAGCAAAAGACAGACAGTCTCAAATTCGTGAGTCTGCAATTGCTTGCATGACTAATGCTAAGGTTAACGCTCTGCCCAGAAACTCCAGACTGTTGCTACCGAAGCTGATAAGCTTGGTCAGACACTACACGCTCTACACCAAGAGTCTGTCAAGAGGGACCAGGAATTGGCAATTGCGCAGCAGAAAGAACTACAGACCACCAGGGAGACGGCCCTGGCCCATCAAGAAAGCCTAGGGACACTTTGCCAGGATAATCTGGCAAGACTCTTGGAAGTCGATGCTTCTTTGGTGAGTAACTACTATCAGAGCCTTTCAGTGAGCTGATTGTAATAGGATCTGCTGTCGACCAGAATGGTATACATGTTGCAGATAGCGCAGAGCATGAATGAGGTTTGCAACAACTTTCAAAGCAACAAGGACAAGACTGACTTTTATAGCGCATGCCGGGTCTCCAGAAGGCACTCAATGAGTCCGAGCAACGAGCCGAGGTGCTACATCAAACACAGCTGCAGCAGTACGAGACCCTGCAAGAGGCCTCGCGGTTACACAAGCAGCAACAAATATACTTGAATGGCACGCTGGCCGATCTTGACAGAGCTGCCGTCAGAGCTGCGACAATGCTCAAGACATTCGACAAGATGGGATCTAAGTATTGGCTAGATCTCGTGCGAAAAGTAATTTGCGATGCATTCTGGATCATGTGTAGCGTCGTGCTCCGGGATGTAGTAGCAAGGGCAGTCGCTCTAACTTGTACGGTCTCCTGTCCTCCGCAGTCTTTAAAACGGCGTACTAACGGTCTTTCCCTCTAGTCAATCACTTGTTGTAGCGTGGACATTGACTCTGTCTCATTCGACATCCATCTTTATCATGTGTTTCCTTATTCCTGATTTAATATTCGCATGGTGGAACAACCTAGCGGGTGGTATTTCCTTTCTGCGCTGTAGGAATATACTACGGAGTGCACGATAAGCCACTAAACCCCCCCCCCAATATTCCCTTTGCTTTTCCCAGGTTTCGTCGAACTCTCTGTATTCAGACTTCGATCCACCAGATCATTTAGCTTGCACATCTCTGAATTCGCTGCCTGTTCCCTTCGCTTAGTGCGGTCTTCGGTGAACCAATTCGACTTGCTTGAATGGAATGACGCATGGAGTATGTGGTAGATATTGAGGCGGCACTCAGTTCGGTAGAGAAAGTGAATGCGAAGTGATGACTGGTCTGTTTCTTGGGCGCATTTGTCTCCGGGCCTCGGCTTTGTCCAGGTGCTGTATTGTAAGACAGAGTTGTGTTTCTGACAGGTAACAGAAGGAGGTCAGTTCCTTCAATCTAAGCCAGAATGGGGCAAGGGCGCTGGCCCTGAAGGTAGAGGAAGGTATCGAACCTTTTCTCCACAAATTGCGGAGAAACTGACGATCCCCGGAAAAGTGGATGTGGAGTACGGGGGGAAAGCCTCTGGCCCAACCACAGCCTCGCACTTACTTAGCTGGACCTTCGGCTCCGCTCATCTGCCGGCATTCATCTCTTTCTCTCCTCCAAACACTCCCCACTCAATGTATTCCTCACCAACCAACCCCCCCCCCGGTACAATTTCGGACGATTCTCAAAGCTTGACTGATGAATCTGCTCTGGACGCCTTGAGATCCACATTTGATAGGCATTACTGGTGGAACCGGTGAAGCAAGCAAGTGGAAATGTATCCGAGCGAGAAGGGCTATAAAAGGGGCCCTCGTCTCCTCGGGGGCTTCTTGAATCTATCCTCCCTCGCACTGCAGTTACACTGAGAAACAGATCCGTCAGTATGAGAACATTACACCTTATCCTGCCCTCTTTGGTATTGGGCTCAGCTATTTCAACCCGACAAGATTCTTTCCAAACCAAATGTGCCAAGTTCGCAAGCAAGATTGATCTACCCAATGTGCGAGTGAACATTGTGGAGTATGTGGCCGGAGGAGCCAACCTCTCTATTCCAGACAACCCCGCTACTTGCGGCGCTACCTATCAGACTGTGACGGCCGACTTTTGTCGAGTTGCTATGGCGGTTGCGACCTCAAACAGCAGCGAGATCACATTGGAGGCATGGCTGCCTCGGAACTACACTGGTCGGTTCCTGAGCACGGGCAATGGAGGGCTCAATGGCTGTACGTCACCTCTCTTCTACTTGTTCTGCATCATTCTATTCCTAGGTCTGACATTTTCTTAAGGTGTCGGGTATGATGATATGGCGTATACAACCGGATTCGGCTTTGCGACGGTCGGTGCCAACAACGGACACAATGGCACGTCTGGCGAACCCTTCTATCAACACCCAGAAGTCGTCGAAGATTTTGCCTATCGGTCAGTTCACACTGGGGTCGTAGTTGGGAAGCAATTGACCAAGCTCTTCTACGAGCAAGGTTTCAACAAATCTTACTACCTGGGGTGCTCCACTGGCGGTCGTGAGGGCTTCAAGTCCGTGCAGCAGTTCCCGGACGACTTCGACGGTGTGGTGGCCGGTGCTCCTGCCATGAATTTTGTAGGCTTGACCTCCTGGAGCGGTTACTTCTACCCCATTACCGGAACCAATACCTCAGACAGCTACCTCTCTTCTGAGCTCTGGAGTGTTGTCCATGATGAGATCTTACGTCAATGCGACGATATCGACGGCGCGCACGATGGAATCATTGAAGATCCCGATCTCTGCCACCCGATCATCGACACGATCATCTGCAAACCCGGTTCCTCCTCGACCAAATGTCTCACCGGGGCTCAGGCAAACACGGTTCGCCAAATCCTGTCCCCACTCTATGGGCTCAACGGGACCCTTGTGTACCCTCGTATGCAACCCGGCTCGGAGGTGGGTGCCTCAGCAATCTACTACGGCGGCTCGCCCTTTTCCTACAGCACCGACTGGTACCGATATGTCGTTTTCAGCAACCCGGACTGGGACCCGGCCACCTTCAATCGACACGATATCGCCGTGGCGCTTAAGCAAAACCCGTACAACATCCAAACCTGGGATGCAGACCTGACCCCGTTCCGCAAGAGCGGCGGCAAGGTGCTGACCTACCACGGGCTCATGGACCAAATCATCAGCTCGGAAAACTCCAAGCTGTATTACTCGCGAGTGGCCGAGGCGATGAACCTGCCGCCGGCAGAGCTGGACGAATTTTATCGCTTCTTCCAGATCAGTGGTATGGGCCACTGCGGGGGCGGTGACGGCGCATACGGCATTGGGAACGTGGCCGATTCGTTCAACGGCGTTGCGCCGGAGAACAACGTGCTCATGGCCATGGTGCAGTGGGTGGAGAAGGGTATTGCGCCCGAGTTTGTGCGGGGGGCCAAGTTTGTTGATGGAGTTGGAAGTGGAGTGGAATATACCCGCAAGCATTGTCGCTGGCCCCGGCGCAATGTGTACAAGGGTCCAGGCAATTACACGGACGAAAACGCATGGCAGTGTGTATAGTATACGAAAGGAAGAAGAAATCGTGATGGTGCAGCAGAATTGAAGTCTAGCATATTGGAAGTTACACAAGTCTCGATAGAAGTGGAAAATTTTTAGTCCGCGCATAAATCACGGAAGCCTTGTAGAATGTACAGTGAGTGCTCAAGTAGCACAAGAGCGATCTGAAACAGCATGAGATCATCTTCAAGGTTATGATTTGCTTTCCCCTCATCACTCCGTATTAGGGTTGGTGTTCGGCAGAACCAGGCGGTGAGAGCCAGCAGTTTCCCCTCTCGAGCTTCCTTTGGCTTCGCTGCTGCTCCATCCTCCCCTCCCCACCCCCCATCTCTGGCCCAAGTTGACTCTTGAGAATCACCGCTTCTTTCATCACTCGAGTACATCTTGTATCTTAATCTATGTATGTACTACTACCTCTTCTTGACCCTTCATCCCCCATACCATGAGAATTGTATCCAGACACGAACCAGTCCAACCCAGACCGCCCTAGCAGTTAGTTGGAGTAGCGGCCGCAATGACTCGCTGGGGTCTGGTTCGGTTGGGCTGGGCTTGCCTGCAGACAAACTTGGCTAGTTGGCATGTGGTTCGTCTACTTTTCATCCCAGTTCCAGCTATCTCCTATCGATATCTCAAACCTGTCCACCATTGCTCTGAATACCCTTCCCTGCCGTTGCCCTCCGTTGCCCTTTGTCCCGCATCAGAAAGCTGACTGTTCTTCCCCGCCTCCGCGCGCGGAACTAGCGCTGATAGTTTAGCTAGCCTTAATTCATCGCCCTCCTTGGTTCGAACCACACAAGCCGCCGGAGACCTTCCCAACCTTTCACGGATCGCATTTCCTGTGTCCACCCTTCAGCTTTTCTGCGCCGTGCCTGTGCGATAACACATACACAGACGATCTACATCCATTTTTGCCTTTGGCTATCCATACAACCATATCCTGCGAGACCGAAAACGACAGGCCCGTAAGTGACGTCCCTGCCATGGACGAGTTCGCGCAAACACGTGGAGGGGATGACCTGTTCGACGATGAAATCATCCCTGTCTCTGCAGAGCAACAACAACAACAACAACAACTGCAACTGCAAGAACAACAAGAGCGACACTCCCTACCGGCGGATGACCACCAGCAGTCGTTTGAAGAGAATATCGCGCCTACAACAGCATCAACTACTATCGAGAGAGACGTATCATCGCCTGCGCGGACTGACACCCCGTCGCGGTCACGCGGGGGTGAGCGACGGGGGAGGGGAAGGGGAGGCAGAGGGAGCCGGGGTGGGCGTCGGGGGTCGCAGAATTCTGGCCGGAGGGGCGATTCGAACGTGAGAAATAATCACAACCATCATAACAATAAGACTGCCGCGGAGAGCCCCGTGGAGGGTAGCGAGGACAGCAACAAGAGTCCCGTGGAAGAGGCCACGACTACTACCCCCTCGGCTGCCTCTGGGGCTGGGGCTGGGGCTGGGGCTGGGGCTGCGGAGACGGAACAACCGGCGGGTGAGAAGCCTGCAGCGGAGGGCCCGCGGGTGCCTGCTGTACGTGGGGATCGGAGTGCTACGGGTGGTATCAAAAAGGTACGTTTTCTTTACGGGCCGGGGGCTTGAAGGTGGACTTGAAGCGCAGGGCTAATGGGGTTCCGTTTGTCTGTTTAGCCGAAACTCACGGAAGAGGAGCTCTCGCGTCGGATTGCGGCTGCGAAGGAAAACGCTGCCAAGGTTGCCGCGGCGCACGCTCGGGCTGAAGCCGACCAAGCCTCGTTTCTTGAGAGGGAGAAGGTTGCGGAGGAGAAGAGACGCCAGGAACGGGTACAGCGCCGGGTCATGGATAACGAGCGGGAACGTAACCGACAGCGGAAGTTGCAAGCCTTTGCAGGCCGGGAGTGGGATGCTCAGAAGAAGGAGGAGGATTTCGCCCCGCGCGGTGGGCGTGGGGGCTTCCGTCGAGGTATGCACGGTGGTGTTTCTGGATACACTAGACGCGATTTTGAAGGCCAGCCGGGCGACCAGCCTAATGGTGAGGCTCATGAGGAGTCCCACGGTGACAGTCCTCGAGGGGGTCCTCGAGGTCGAGGCCGTGGGGGTCGCGGCGGGCGTGGCCGCGGTGGTCATCGTGGCCCACGGGAGGAGATTCCCCAGACAGATGGTCCAGCTGAGAACTTGCCAGGCTTGGGTGAGTCGAGGTGGGCTCCTGCTCCGGTGATTGACAACGAGGCAGACTTTCCTGCGCTTCCCGGCAGTGAAAAGAACGGAAAGGACACCTCGAAAGATGCCCCGAAAGAGTGGGTCAAGGAGGAACAGAAGGAAACTCAGAAGGAGGTCGTCCAGGACCCCTCCAATGAACCTAAGGAACTTAAGGAGCCCCCCAACGCCGCAACGACTGCAGTGAACCTGGATCTTCTCAACGTGGACCCTCTATCACCAATGGAGGGGACCTCTTGGGCTGAACAAGTCGAGTCCCAGTGATTCTCTATTTGGGTCTACGTTTTTATTCTTCTCTGGATTCTTGGATTGTTGAAGACCTCCATGATTGATGCATTTATTATAATTCCCCAATTACACTTGCTATTGGCTGCGATTCAGAGGTATTTCTCCTTTCTTGGTATTTTGGATATACCATAGCTGATAGGTTATGATGTGATGTATATATAGGGTGCACACCGCATTAGCTATGGTAGAATTAGTAGATGAGAGCCAAATTGATAAACATCACTTCTACATTTGCTTGTGTTACTATGCGTAGTACATGGCAGGGAACACCAATGCTTGGGGTAAGTGAGTTAACGTGAATGCGAGCGACTGACCCCAAACTTGGGGGTGGCAACCCGGAATGACGTGTGTTCATGATGAGATCACCAACCCTTCATTCATCCACCCGATAATACGAGTAGGGTATATAAACCCAACCCACGAGATTTCGAAGAGTATCAAGGTCAAATCTACAGTATCTGATATCATCTTAACCAGTGAGTCTTCACTTCCACCTCTTCCTTCTTCCGCAAACTATACAACATACAACGCCCAACTATATACCTCCACCGCAACCACCAACTAACTTGAACCAAACCTCCAGCATCACAACCTCACACTCCAATTGCCACATACCGTACATTCCCAACAACAACACACACACACACACACACTTACCCTAATAAACACCTCAAAAGAAAGCCTCAAAAATGGCCTCCAACTCCAACCGTCTCCCACAAGCCACCCGCGGCGGCGCCTCCGCCGAGCCCACGCCCGCCAACAATGCCGGCGGCGGCAGCGGCTGGGGCGACTCGGGCCACCCCAAGGGCGGGGTTTCCGTACGTTCTTTTTTCTCCCTTGTCCCTTTGCCATCCCCTTTCCCCCTGTAGCCTAACCCTTGCCCTGCCACCTCATATATACACCCCGCACCGCCCACCCGCTGACAAGTTGTCGAACAGAGCGACGTCCTCACGGCCCCGGAGTTCCGCGACATCAGCGACCAGAAGTCGGCGGCGGAGCGCAAGTTCCTGGGCCGGTTCGACGAGGGCCACGGCGAGCAGGAGGGGACGTGCGCGACTGAGGACCACAGCTTCATGGAGCGGAAGCCCGGCGGGGCCGGGACGCTGCCGGGCTGGGAGACGATGAAGGATAAGTTGGGATTGTAAGCTCTTCTACTCTCAGGGTAGATGCAGTTGGCCCGAGGACTGGCTGATGAGGCGTATAGTCTCTATCCGGAGTGAACCTCTTTTCTTCTCTTTTCAGAGGTTGTACAAGGCTTGGTTTTTGTCCAGTAAGGTGGAGTTATTTGTGTGGCTTTCTGGGTTGTATTGTACTTCAGTGTTTACTCTTCAATGGGGTTATGAGATTATGAAATGGAATAACATTTATGGTGACTCTGTTGTTTGGTGTTGGGTGTTGATGAAGGTTGCGTCTGGATGGTATATGTCATTGTGTGAAAATGAACGAACTTGTATACATGCGGAAAACTACTCCGTCTTCGCCGTCTTCCCTTTGACGCGGTCCCGGAGCGCAACGAGCTTTCCGCCCAACCGACTCTTCAGGGTCTGCGCTCGCATGGTCGAGGCCTCTTCGGCCGTCACGAAACGGCGCACCAGCAGATTGAAGATACTGCCGAAAGCCAAAGCGATCACCGTGCTCGTCAAGATAATCACGTTGTAGGGCATGCTGAAGTCCGGAGTAGGGAGCGGAAGAAGCAGGCTCGTCGTGCGGATGTAGGTCGGGTGGCTGGGGCCGCCGTCCGCCGAGCTCAGCTTGATCACCGCCGGAGCCACGTTGAACCCGCGGTTGGCGTCTGGGGGATACTCCGTGTACCGCAATATGGCCTTTTCGAAGTCGTACGTCAGCGTAACCGCCGACGCGGCCGGCACGGAGAGCGTCAGCTCGAGCTGGGTCCCGCGTTCGCGATCGATGGCTGGGCGGTAGAAGGTTTCTTTGATGAATTGCGAGGCGGGCACTTGGCGACGCAGCCCGTCGCGGCCCGTGATGGTGGCCTGCAGAGTGTGGACGTAGGGGCGGAGGAACCAGGGCAGCGTCTCGAAGTAGATGAAGTCAACAGCGTTGGTGTCCGAGGGGTTGTCGAAGATGATCCGCATCCCGCCCCGTTCCTGGCCGTGTCCGACGATCGTGCGCTCGGCGCGCAGGACAGGCTCATCGAGCGGAACCTGGGTCGTGGCCTCTTGCTCGGGGATGGCGAGGTCAAAAGGTGTGGACGACTCCAGGGTAAAACAGCGGGTGTAGCCGTCGGGCCTTTTCACTTCCACCGCGCCGTCAGTCGCATGGACTTCGCGTTCGTGTGGCACTCGCAGGCAGACCGTCCCGTCGGTAGAGCCCTCGGTGAGAGGGCATGATCCGCTAATGCTGCGGCCGAAGATCTCAGACAAGCCCCAGCTCTTTTCGGACGTGCTCTCTAGCGGGTAGCAGGTGTCATCGGAGTGGTAAGGCTTGGATGTGTCGCATACGAGCTGCTCGTTAGGCACGGGTCGTGGGATGGGGTTGTCTAGGAGAGAAGAATCAGCACAGGTCGCCATACGCCAAGTAAGCGATACTAACCCCGTGGACGCTTGGACCGGTCGATATCGAGCACAATGTCCACCGACTGATCAATCTGCACAACACAGTCCCCGGCCTGCGTGCAGATCGGACGCACATCCACGGACATGCTCTGCCATGAAGCATCGAATAGCTTGTGCCCGTCCAGAAGACTAGCCACGCCCGCCTTGCCCTTACAAGGAAGGAGCTTCAAAAATGGCGTCAAGTTCTCGGTGCAGACCACCTCACCAGGAAGTGTTCCGTGCAGAAGATGCAGATTATCCGAAGCCGCGTGAGTCCCCATGGGTTCGAACGACACGACCGGCCTCGTCGTTCTGGTCGAGTCGATGAAATTCAACGAGGCACAGAACAGCCCGGAGAGCGATTGGGCCAAGGTGATCCATTTCGCGAAAGCCCTGGTTGATGTCAACATTGTATCCTATCTGTCCGGCCACCCCAGGATGAAACGTACGCTTCGTCATCCACAGCATCAATCCACGCCCACAGCTCCACCCCGGTGCCGCCCTCCTTGGTTCCATTCCACGGGCGAGGACCCCAGCTCTCAGCATCCCATCGACCCGTTGTGAACCGGAGGTGCAGCTCCTTGGTATTGGCGTGGCGGAGGATCTGACCTAGCGCGCGGGGGAAGTAGCGGAAGTGACGCTCGTCGAAGAAGGTCTGCGAGTCATTGCTCTGGAAGTTGAAGGAAGCTAATAGCGCGGATTGCGGAAGTGGTTGGAGGACGAGGCTCTCGTGGTAGTCGGAGTTCGCGGAGGCGAGCGAGGAGAACGCAGCCAGGAAAAGTAAAGAGAGTAGCGAAAGGACAGTCATCACGTCATGCTGGCCGACACGGAGGCGTCAGGAAGAATCCAGTCAAGATATCTTGGTGCACCACCCCTCGGTGGTGGAGTTGCGATGGTCGGCAGCTGCGTTGCAGGTAGGAGATGCAACAAGTGACAATTGCGGAGACACCTGCAGTACGTCAACGACGATTCGGTCGGATCGAAGCCTAACGGTTCAGGCTCTGTTAGAATCAACAGTCATCAATTACCCTTTATATCATGGGAAAAGTATTCCTGTAGTCGAGATACTTAGCGAAGTCATTGGTATAATACCCCAAGGCGAACAGGGGCCCGGAGCTCACATAAGCGCAGCCAACCGCGGTTAGCGCCACGCCCGCAGAACTTCCCGGCCAGAACAGAAGAAGAAGCAGAAGCTCTCCAATTCAAACTCCTTCAAGTGCGATCATCCCTTTTCTCCCCCCCTCCATCCCCTCACCCTCACCCCTCACCACTCTTTCGATCCCAGGCATTAATCTCCCACCATGGCTGCGGAACAAAGAAAGCTGCTTGAGCAGCTCATGGGAGGTACGTCCCCAACAATCCCTTCTCGCGCGTTTCCAGCTCTCTTTCCCTGTCAAAAACCGCAATCCCAGATAGCTAGCTAACCCTCGACACCTTGACTGCTGCAGCGGACCAACTCGTCGGCACAGGATCGCAATCTCGCAATGCGCAACTCGCCATCACCGACCCGAAAGTCTGCCGCTCCTACCTCGTCGGCACCTGCCCCCACGACCTCTTCACCAACACAAAACAAGATCTGGGCCAGTGCCCGAAAGTGCACAGCGAAGGATTGAAGACGGAATACGAGGCTGCCTCGGCCGCGGAGAAGGCCAAGTGGGGGTTCGATTACGATTATATGCGCGACATGCAGAAGTACATTGACGACTGTGACCGCCGCATCGACTCGGCGCAGCGACGGTTGGAGAAGACTCCGGATGAGATCCGACAGACGAATAACCTGGTACGCTGGCTCTCTGCTACTACGCTCCCCCCCCGTTCCCCATTTCCTGAAAATCTTGGCTGGAACACGTGAAACTAATCTTTTCTGTCTTCGTCGCTCTTCAGCTCAAACAAATTGCTGACCTCACCAACACCATCAACTCGGGTCTGCTCGAGATCTCCGTCCTGGGCGAGACGGGCGCCGTCGCCCAGGCCCTGAACGAACTGCACAAGATCCGCACCGCCAAGCACCAGAAGGAGACGTGCGAGCGCGACCTCAAGAACCTCCAGGACACCTCGGGCCCCTCGGGCCACCAGAAGCTGCAGGTCTGCGACGTCTGCGGCGCGTATCTGAGTCGCCTCGACAACGACCGCCGCCTGGCCGATCACTTCTTCGGCAAGATGCACATGGGGTACTCGGACATGCGCAAGACCTTCAAGCGACTCAGCGAGGAGCTCAAAGGCCGGCCCCCGCCGGTCCGGCACCACGAGGACGAGGACGAACGTGATCGTGGCTGGGGTGGTGGCCGCTCCGGGGGCGGGGGCCGCGGGCCTCGCTATGGTGGTGGTGGCGGCGGCGGCGGCTACAAGAAGCGTGGTCCTCGGTGGTGATGATGACGATGACGACGATCATGAAACAAGGAGGAGGGGGTTTGGGATTGTCCTATACCGATTTCTGTTTTTTTTTTTTTTTCTTTTTTTTGCTTCTTGTTCGGCTGTACGCTCTCACCCTTGGTCTTTGCATAGCGTAGGCGTTTCCTTTCACGACCATGTTGGCGGATGTCATGGCTATTTTCTTTATGTCTCAAAAAGATATTAAACATCACTCACCTTATTTTAGCGACACA